GATAGATAGATAGATAGATAGATAGATAGATAGATAGATAGATAGATAGATAGATAGATGAGAGAGAGAGAGAGATATCAATCGATCTGGACTTTATTTACCAGCCATGAATATGCAAAACCATGGCTAATGGAACCATGGCTAATGAGGCCCACCTGTATAACTACATGAACAGGAAAATGAAAGATTCACAGGAATGTGATTGCACTTGAAATTTCATACCAATAGTGGTATGCAACTGAAGGAAAAACAACTAGCCAAGAAAGAAAGAAAAAAAGTTAATTACATTCTCTTATATCCCCTGAGATTTCTCCAATGCTGAAATCTGGCAAGCCTGTAATTTCAAAGGGTTGTAACAAATACGTCACCTACAATTTACCTTTGATTTTCACAGAGATGGTATTGTTTTCACCAACCAGATAGCCACAGGGTAGCAGCTCAGGTGTTTCTGTGCTATTTGTGCGAACAATTTCCCCAATGCTGTATCCCAGGACACTGTCCGAATTCAACCCAAGTTGACTCACAGGATCTACATGAATGATGTATTCCTGGAAACAGAGAGCAAAAGAGAAAACTAATATATCTTAAGGGGTTTTGGCTTTAAGAACAAAACTTCACAATCAAGTACAATTCTCCTTTCAAGACAAATTAATTCCCATTATAAAGAAATGATATTTAGCAGATGATATTTCGGAAAAAGAATCATGTGCCATCAAGTCATTTTTGACTCCTAGTGACCACATAGATAGGTTTTCTCCATGACGATCTATCCCTAACATGTTCTTTCACATCTCCCAACAGTGCACTCATCACCACTGTAACGAATCCATCCACCTTGCTGCTAGTAGTCCACTTCCTCTCTTTCCTTCCACCTTTCCCAGGATTAGAGACTTTTCCAGAGTTTTCTCATAATGGGTCCAAAGCAGGATAATTTGAGCCTGGTCTACATGGATGTATTGTGACAAATATTTCCCAGCCACTAGGACTGTGCAAAACTTTCTGAGTGTACCTCAAGTAAGAACTCTGGGCTGATCTGTTGGATGATCCATCGGTTTGTTTTCTTGGCAGTCCACAGTATTCTCAGGCGTCTTCTTCAACACTAATGTTCAAAGGCATCAATACTCCTCCTATCTTGCTTCTTTAAAGCCCAACTTTCACTTCCATACAGTGTCACAGGGAATACCACAGCTTGCATGATTCTGGTCTTTGTAGATATAGACACATTATGGCATTTAAGCATCTTTTCCAAGGTCTTTGTGGCTGTTCTACCAAGTGCTGGTCTGTGATGTATTTCTTGACTGCTTCTTCATTTATTGTTGATGGTTGATCCTAAAAGGCAGAAGCTACTGTCATTGTGACAAATATTTCCCAGCCACTAGGACTGTGCAAAACCTTCTGAGTGTAAAATGTTCCATGCTTGGAATGGCTATTTTGATTGTTCCAAGGCTGAAGCAAAGCATTTCATGTTCAGTCTTGTAGTGCGCTCAGGACTCATTGGGGCACTTCATTACACATTATTGCTTTGATTTAAAAAATCATCCCACCTCCTCCAATTCACAGAGACTTGGAGAATGCATTAGCCAGTAAAATAGAAGGCTGGAGCTAGCTGAAAGAGAAGTGGAAGAAGTTAAAGGAGAGGTGAAGAGTTAAGAGCTATTTTAGACATCAGAAAAGATCCTGTCTATCTTACCAAGTATGAACTGGTGTTTTTAAATCTTTCACTATGGGAAAGTTAATGCTCAATGGGTACAATGTAATGTTGCTAGCACTGTCTGTTCTATGTGATTTTGTGGAGTTCTTGGTGCTGAGCTTGGTTGTTTGCTTGCAGATGTTTCATTACCCAACTAGGTAGCATCATCAGTGCTGGTGAGTGTGAGATTTACTTCCTCTTCATATACAGTAGCTTGCCCTGCCAGTTTTGGTGGGGAGGTGTAGTATCCTCCTAGGAGGTTCTTTGATTATAATGTTGTTTTCTGCCTTGGTTGTCTGGTGTTAGATCCCTGCTTATCTGAGTGTTGGCTGCTGGAGGGGTTGTGTTCTAGTCTTTTTGTTTTCTTCCTTTCTATTTTATTGTCTCTTTTGAATAGTATATAAATGTGGCTTATCTCTATGTTCTGTTGATGGCTGATTTGTCTGAATGCCAAGCTTCCAGGAATTCCCTAGCATTTTTGGATTTGGCTTGGTCTAAAATGTTAATAGTTTCCCAGCTGAAACTGTGGTTACGTCTGTCCATGTGTGATGAGATTAAGGAGTTTTCGTCATGTCTTCTGACTGCTAGTTGGTGTTCATGGATGCATTCTTCTAGTCTTCTGTCTGCCCTACATAGTGGCTGTTATAGTCCTTAAATTGTATCTTGTAGATTACTCCTGTTTTTTCTTCTTGGACTACTGGGTTTTTGTGGTTTGCTTAAGATGTTTTGGACGGCTTTGGTTGGTTTGTGTGTACAGTGATGCTGAGTGGCTATAGTAATCTGTTGGTTGCTTCTGAAATGTTTTTGATGTATGGGAGTGTTATCTTTTTCATAGGTTGTACCAGTTGTCTTGTAGCAGGTTGCATAGTCAGGCACTTTATAATATAGATGCATGGGTATCCATTTTGTTGGAAGAAGTTGTATATGTGGTCTGTTTCCTCTTTCTGGCATTTTAGGTTGCTGCAGTATGTTTGTGATCATCTGAATAATGTTCTTACACAGCTCATCTTGTGGGAAGCTGGGTTGCTGCTTTGGTAGCTGAGCACTTGATGAGTGTGGGTTGTTTTCTGATAGAGTGGGTTTCTAATTTGCCATTGTTTCTTCTGCTGATGAGGATATCCAGGAAGGGTAGTATGGTGTTGTTTTCTTCCCTTGTGAATTTTATTCCTATGATGATGTTGATTGTCTCATGTGTCTTCTCTAGTTGTTCCTTTTTATTATGATGAAGGTGTCATCTACATAACAGATCCATACTTTTGGTTCTATGTGTGGGAGCGCTATAGCTTCTAGATGCTGCATCATGGTCTCTGCTATGAATCCTGAGAATGGTGATTTCTGGATGTTCACCTGATTTGTTGGTGTATCTGTCTAGGTAGTGTAATGGAATGTGTAGTAGAGGCAAAGGCTGATGCATTCCATGAGAGATTTTCTTTTCAGCCATATTGCCAAATGCAAATGTGCACAGTGCATGTTTATTAAAGTGTGATTGTTATGCTTGCAGGGTATTAAGCTTGCAGGGTGCCATATACATTGTTTTGTTTGCTGAATTTTGGAGGGCGATTGCAAAATGCAAAAGTTCATGTGCATTATGAAGAAACTTCAAACCTACAATTAAAGAAGTATATTTTAATGGACATTATGTTATTCATGAGATGGGTTAATTAATCCATTGCTGCTCTTTTTTTTTTGCTTGACTTAAGTTCTGTGGCTATATTGCACAAGCATTATAGCAAATATGGACATTATGGACAATAAACAAATTATAAGATTAATTAAAAACTGGTGATTTTCCCAATTTCTTCAAAAACTTTCAATCAAGAAGCTTAATTAGGCATTGTCACCAAAAGTGGTGATATGTACAATTTATTTACAGCTTTATCAACATAATCTAGACAGATTGTAATTTTGGTAGTTTAATTCTACCAAACTATAGTGTGATCTGTGCCCAGGTAGGAAGCAGAACCCAAACTCTGCAGGCTAGATTGGAATGCCACCCCTACCCAACCTCCAAATGTGGAAGAAGGCAATGGCAAATCCTGGAAGAATGAAACATATTTTTCTACAACCATTTCAATCAGAGTTTAGACTTGATTTTGGTACCCAAACTGCCTTGGTTATTCTGCTGGATGATCTTTGGTGACAGGTAGATGAGGGGAGTGCCACCCTATTGATTCTCCGGATCTCAGCAGCTTTTAATACCATCAATCATGGTATTCTTCTGGAGAGGAGGTTCAAGTTAGGTACGGATGGAACAGCCTTGAAGATTCTGTTTATACCTGGATGGCTATCTCCAGAAGATGGCACTGGGGAGTTTCTGCTCATTCTCAAAGTGTTTACCCAAGATTCCATTTTATCCCCATTTATGCATTTGTGCTCCAGGATGAAAATAGAGGTAGCAAGTAACATTATTCACTCAAAACATTTTGAGTTTTGTTCCACTGGAATATGGATTAGTAAAAATGTTCTAAAGGAATATTCCAGATTAGCCTGATTTGCTTGTTTCATGCATAGATCTCTACAGGTCACTTATAAATGTAGCAAGATGAAAGTATGGTACGCATTATATATGAGAGGCAATATACCCATGAGTATCAGATTTTGGGAGAAAAAACACAGGAAATTCTACAGGCATCTGAAACTATGTTTCTAAGTTGATGATAGATTAAGTAGCCTCTCCCAACCTGGTGACATTCAGATGTGTGGGACTACATCATCCTAGCCAGCATAATGGAATTTGTTGCTTAATACATCTGGAGGGCACCATCATTTTACAGGAAACTGTATTAGATACATTGTGATCTAATATGTTAATCATTTCAGACTTTGGCATAATACCCAAAGCCATAAGAGAATTCCATGGTCTTGGACACGAGGGAGACTGGAGGTATCAGAAGAAACACGCAGTACAATGTTAGAACCAAGATACCAGCTGTGCTTTTTTGGGGGGGGGCATTTTTTTAAAAAAATATTTGAAATAGATCAAGGAGTCTGAATTATAATAAGAGACAACTATTATGTATTTGGTCTGATTACCTAATTGTGATCCTACAATATGCACAATGTAAATATGTATTCCTAATCTAAACAGGCATTATTTATTACAGCTCTTCTTACTCCAGTCTCTTTCCAGATGTGTTGGATTTAAATTTCCATCATTCTTAGCTAGCATGACCACTGACCATGCTGGATATGGATTATGTGTGAGCTGAAGTCCAACACATCTGAGTGTCAGCAGGTTTGGGAAGGTTTGTTTTATTAACTTGGTTTTTAATATCAAATCATCTCAAGTGTAGTAAACTAGTTCTTAGGTAAACTTTGACATAAGCAGTGGTTCTCAAAATCTTCTAAAATTAATCAGAAATGCTTATTGATCCAATGAAGAATCTGTAAATTTTCTTTTAGGCCTCAAATAAGATTACATACAGAAAATACTGACAAAGCTTTCAAAATATGGCACTGTTGTTAGGAAACACTCAAAAATAACATTATTTACCTTAAATAGTCTTCTTACAACACCATCAAGAACATCCCATTTGGTTTTTCCACTCACTCCTATACAGCCAATTAGGAACAGGCGAGGCCTAGGATCCTAAATAAAAATTGAAGTATGTTAAAAGGAAAGTGTTCAAACAAGATAAATTGTCTTCAATATGTTCACAATATTTTACTATGATCCAGCAGCATTGCTCCACAGTCCTGAACCAAACACTAGTGTAAAATATATTCTTAAGATTGCAAGATCTTTATATCAGAAAATAACTAAAATGGAGAAGAATGTTTTTGTTTGCAAACAATATTGCACAATTTCTTGTACAATTTTACATATCTTTGGGTCTCTCTTGTTCAACAGCTCACAAAATACTGTCTAAGCATCCTTCACTAGCATATATCTAGAGCCAAGGAATTGCTATACCCTGAAATCAGCATTTTATTGAGACTGGAACATTAGACCAGGATAAAATACAGGCAGTCCTTGGCTTATGACAACAATTGAGACTGGAATTTCCATCATTAAACAATGCAGTTGTAAAGCACAACCGCATCACTTAGCAATAGCAATTACTGCAGTCCCGGTTCTTGTCATTAACTGAATCTCACAGTTGTCAGGTGAAGCAACTTCCTGCCAGCTTCCCACAACAAAAGTCAGTGGGGACGCCAGCAGGAAGTTGCAAGTCCCAGGCTGGCAGGCAGGTAAGTGGCTGCTGCTGGGTGGGGGAGGGAGTGAAGGTGTGTGTGAGGAGGGTATGCAGGGGTGCAGGATAGGTGCCGTGCAAGTCGGGAAGGGCGCATGGGGATGCAGTATGGGTCTGAAAGGGTGCGCAGGGGTGCACGAGAGCTACTGTGCAGGCCAGGGAGGGCACGCAGGAGGTGCAGTGTGGGTTGGGAAGCATGCACTCGGGTGCGTGAGGGGTGCCACATGGGTCGGGGAGGGTGCATGGGGGTGTGCAAGTGGCCAGCATGGCATGACTGCAAAGGGGCTGGGGAGGGCATGTGGGTGGGGGAGACTTACCCCAGCAACTTGCAACCTTCCCTGCCAGCTTCCCCACTGATTTTCTGGGGAAGCCAGCAGGGAGGATTACAAATGGAAATCACATGATTGCAGGATGCTTGGCAACCAGTCGTAAGTGTGAACAGGTTGCCAAAAGCCCAGATTGCGATCACATGACTGCTGCAATGGCTGTAACTTCGGGGACCAGTTGTAAGTCCCTTTGTTCAGCACCATTGTAACTTTGAACAGTCGTTGAACGAAAGGTCATAAGTTGAGGACTACCTGTACTACTACTTCTTACACTGAAATCTTTTTGACTTAAGTCCAAAATAAATAATTTAGCATAAAACAAGTTCTATTGACAGAAAAGTCCTTTTCCTGTCCCCTTACATCTGATCTAGGTGTTGAATCACTTTCCCCGAAAATTCTTTAAGTTACTTTATAACTAGAAAAGAGAAAAGTCAGAGGACGTTTTTCAGTGTGTACAAGACAGATCTTGAAAATCTTTCCACTCAAAGCTATGCACACTTGGTTCAATTTCCGTTTTATTTATTCCAAATTCCTGAAGCACTAGGAGGTTTGGACTTCCCAACAATTAAAACAACCATGGCTGCTGGCATTAAGTCTAGACTAAAAGTCCAAGCAAAATCATACATCAGTAGCAGCAATGAAAGAGGTACAGTATAAGGGGAAAAAACAGGTACTAGTGGAACCCAGATCAGAACTGGCCTTTTGATAACTGAAGCACTTCTGGAATTATGACCTTTTCTTGCAGAGCTTTTGGAAACTAAGAGTGATTCTAATAAAAGAAATATTCTCTCTTTCAATTTATGGAGGCCATGTAGCATGAAAAAGGTGACAGTGCACTCAAGAAGTACTTGAAAAAGTGCTGATATATACCCTCCTTAACATCTTTCTCCAGTTATGTTTTGAGCAAGGAGGTAAATCTGGTTCTGAGGCAAAATAGGTTTTCAAGACCCATTTCACCACTGAAACTGCCTGTTGAACTGCTTTGGGATCCCTGGATGAAAAATAGTCTATAATTTAAATAAACAAAACCATAGAAACTTTATTTTTCTTAACAACATGATAAATCATCATGGACCAAAAACATTTGGACTCACTTCTTTCCATTTCTCTTCATCCTGAAAGCTGACAACTATTTTAACATGCCTACCACCTTCTTTCCGAGAAGAACCATCACTGGGGTCATCCAGCAGCATATCTGTCAATAGGAAGCACAGATTCTATCTTCAAATATTGGAAGCTATTTTTGATTTGGTTTTTGAGACTTTGACAAGCATCTTGTTCTAGTCATGATTGCTACTACGCGGACTAGAAACGTATTTATAACAGAAAGTGGGAGGAAACTGAGATTCACAAAATGTTTAAAGTGCCAACTTTTGTATTTTCAAAATTATGAAGCAAACCCTTCCTTGAACAAATGAAAATTCCCTAGCAACTTCGAATAGTTCTATAAGAAACAAAGATCCCATAAATATTAATGCAAAGTCTTCTCTTGAAAAAACACGTAACTCTGCTAAATGTATGCAATCAGATCACCAAAGGGGATTCAGTTTAGCTGAGGTCATAACTAGAATGCTATGTTCATATTCAGGATACAGAAGAACTAGCTCTATTACAGGAGAAAGATTTACTATCCCAATTCTTCCACTTTACCATCTTATCCATTAATTGAATTCACAGCTACAGGAGAAAACCTGCCTACTGGCTTTCATACATACTCACCAAGACTAGCTGACTCTGTGAGGTTCAGACTGTGCTGGGAGAGACCCATAGATTGCCTTGGAGATGATGAAATGAAAACTTGAGACTGGGCTCTACTACAGCTGCCTTGATTTTCAGACTTCAGCCGGTCATTTTCGGCTTTTAATTTCTCAATCTCACTCTGGATTTAAAAAAAAGGCAAACAGACAGTGAAGGAAATAGAAATACAAATATCTTTTGTTATTTCTGAATGTGATCAATATGTCATGGAATCATAGAAACATAGAATGTAAGTTTTGGAAAAAGCCATAGAGATCAGCGGGTCTAAACTCCTAGTAAGTGTACTTGCTACTGTATTATCCCTAAAGATGGCCATCCAGCATCTGTATAAACACTTCTACCAGCTACTACCTCCATCTCAAGTGGAGATAAAGATAATTACATACATATATACATGCAATACACAGATTCTAGTTGAGATTCTGCTTCCTTCTTTTGTACTTTCTTTCATTGACCCTATCCCAATGGGCTTTTTATTCCTCACCAAAAGATAAGGTCCATCCTCTCACTAGATACAGAGCAAGACTTCATGTTGAGTCAAAATGATGTGCTGTGTACACATCAAAGCTCTTCAAAGTTTAAAGGAGACACATTCCCCAACCTCTTTTAAAAGCAGTGGGCCAAATATCAGTTTTATTACTCCAGGTGCATAAAGGTTTGCAGCTTTTTGCCCCTTGGCTGAGCTGGGTTTTTAACAACCCTGTAACAAAAGTGTAGCTTTCTCAGTTAAATTTAAACCTGACATACAGATTGTTAAAGGTAGTGGTCCCTGCCAGAATCAAACTTAGAGTTTGTTGACAATACTGAAGTCATGGTTTCTCCCAGAAGATTATTTTGTTGCATTTCTATAACATTTTAAACAGATCCAAAAGCACGGTATCTGGAAAAGAAACACTGTAAGCCTTTCTGAAGGGAAAATTGCCCACAGAGGATCACATATTATTGAAATCACGATAGGTGTGGCTTTACTCTGTGGAACATAAAACTTTTTATATCCAAACTATTTTTCTCTGTTGCAGTTATACTTTCTGATGTTACCAGAATGCCTATTTGGATGCAAATTTAATTGCAAATTGTACCAAATAAAACCAATAAAGACGGTAAGATTGATTTATGAAACAAAATTTTTAAAAAATGAATGAATGTATAAGGGTGTGAAACTAGGTAAAGGAGGGGGCATACAATGAGTCAGCCCCACAGCGTCTTCAGTCCTCACACATTCAGTTGAGAAAACATTAAGTACAACTTTCTTGAGTAATCCAGGTCCCTGCCTTATTAGGTTCCCAAAACAGCTGCACAAGCAAACCTGACTGCAGCTTTCCCCTTCACACCTTCAAGTGGAACATGTGAGAGTTGGAGAGAGAGGGGGTAAGCTTCATGCATATTCCATCTTCTACCCACTTCCAAGCTTTTATATGTTCAGGCAAACATCTGCAGAGCGCTCGAGAAACATGTAGATGTAGGAAATCTATTTTCTTAGAGTATAATTTTATCAAAGCTCTGAAGAGTCACAACCCCAGAGAACCAAGCAAACACTTGCTCCTTATGAACTTCTGGATGGCAATTAGTGGCAACTGCAGCTTAAGGGCCTTATGTTAGCATTTATTTCACCCCTATTATTTTCACTCAGTGAAAAGCATAATGGAATACCAATGTCTTACCACAGCAGCTCTACTTTCTGGCTTCCTGGGTGGACTGCACATTCCTACCTGCATCCTGTTCATAGCTTCCCGGAGCTGATCCAGTTGATGAGCAGAGCTGAGGGCCTCTAAACGGATATCAGTCAGCTTCATCTCTTTGTCTCTCAGCTCATTTCGCAGCTGCATAACTGTTTCAGCTTCACTATCAATGCACTCTGAAATTCTGGGAGTTTATTAAAAACAAATAAATATTGAGATAAGAAATTGGAAAGTTTGAATTATGCATATTAGTAAAATTAAAACTTAGTTCCCTAGGTTTCAACAAAGCTTTTTTTTTTTTTTTTAACTTTGTGCCAATGATAAGATCCAGTGGATGTGATTATTTGAAACTGATATCAGAGCAGGACACAAATTTATCTTTGTGATCTATTCTTTAGCGCTGTGTGGTGCTTTGGAGTCAGCTGGAAGAAGTGTTCTAGAGAACGTTAGAATGTGAAAGGAGCACCCACATACAACTCATTTCCAAGACTGCAAAGCTGTACGGAATCTCCCTTCAGCAGCCACATAATCTGGGGAAAAGATGTGACTGTTTCAATGAGTCTCAGACAGGGGCTGTATTTGCACTATTTGTTCTGATCCACTGTGACTATTTAGCTTCAGTAGGTAACTTGCTGTAGTGATTCTGTAGAAAATCCATTTCACTTGAAAATCCCAAGTACATTAAGGGGATAGAAAAGCAGCAGCAGTCACTTGGAGATTGATGGCCTTAAAGAAAGATTTAGACTCAGCAGGTGTAATGCATAGCTGGGCCTCCCTGTACAATTCTAGAGGGCTTTGGAAACATACACCTTTTCAGACATAAAACATTCCTTTGCACTCTATACTGCTCAGGTTGAAAAAGAAAAAGCACCCTTTGTTTTCCTGGTATCAGCTTTCTCTCTTCCCGTCTCCTTTTCTTGCCTTACAAAACTAAATTCAATTCCTTCTCAATACCTAAAGGACCAGGAGCATCATTTGCTGGCAGTTTTTCACATATGCCTTTTGCAAATCCCTCCTGTTCAGTTTCACTTCTTTTAACAAATGTACAGCAGGCAAGAAACAACAAAGCAAAGTGAGAATTCTGAAGGAATCCTGGTGCAATTCAAAGAGTTTGGAATGTAACTTTGAGAATTCCTTAAAACTGGCCATCAAAGGAGAGGTGAATTTTTAAAGGACCCAAATTCTCCTACTGGGGTTCAAGTCCAAGCTGGAGTAGAATTTGCAGCTTCCCTTTGAGCGTTTCTGCCAGTCCTCCTCTTTTATAGACAGGCTGCTCTTGGCTTCACCTTCCATATCTCTGCGTTGAAACTCTGACAAAGGCAGCAGTAGCAAAGGAGCAGCAAAACAAAAGTGGGGAAAAAAGCAAACTTTTTCCCAACTCCTTTCCTCTTATTTTGTTTCATGGACAATTCAGTTGCAGCAATCCATAGGTAAAATACATTGCGCCTAAGGCTTGATTCACTGTTATTCAGCACACTGTAAAGGCAGAAAGTTGCCCCAAATGTAACTTTTTTGCATTTCTCCCCTCCCCTCCCCTTTTAAAGTCAGAATTGCATTTTTTGTAAGAAAGAAGCAGAGGCAGGAGAGGTGAGAGCAGAGATTTATGCTCAGTGCTCACACTGAGTGCTCACACACTTTATGCTAAAAGCAGGTGCCAAATCTGAAAGGATAGTTGTTAGTACATGAGGTAGGTGAATCTGAAGGGAAGACGGGCAAGTATTTGCAATAATAAAATGATTCTTATTAATGTTTATTTATTATTAATAATAACTGCTGCAGACCACACATAACTATTCCAAGACCAGAGAAGCCACTTTCATTGTCAGAATGGCATTCTGGTTATATTACAAAATCAACTGCGTATTTTTTTTTTAAGTTGAGAGTCACTATTGGACTTTGAGTAGCTTGCCAAGAGCTGTCCTCCAATCAGCAGAGTGGACACACACACACACACACATCCTGAAATTCGATTTAATTTAATGACAATGTAAATAATATAAGAGTTCACTGTTTTTTGTGATCTGAAGTTCCTGATTAGTGCCCTATCCTTTGAATAGTAGGGCAGAGATTTGTTCCTTTGCCTGCGTTACTGCTGGTAAGAATTTATGAGTTTATATGTTAGCAGCCTCTAGGCCATAACCTATGAACGTTTTTATCTTCAGAGTAAATCTCATAATGGATCTTGCTTCTGACAAAACGTGCACAGGATTGTGCTAGAATTGTCTTCTGCAGGTAACTATTCTGGTCTAGCAGCATCTTCACCTCAGGCACTCCTGTCTGTCGGAGGGCTTTTCCTTTGATGTTAAAGAAGGGAGCATTGTAAAAAACGCAGCTGCCCAGAGCCCAAAGATGGCGAATGAAGAAATCTTGCAGAGGAACAGAAGCACTTGCCACAGACTTAGGTGGAAAGCTTCTCATTAAGGAGCAGAAAGTGTTTTAATGTCATGACGGTAAAGTGTCCAAAGAATTTTGCATTTCCCCTTTACTCATTAAAAAGTAGTGCTTGTTGCTCCTACTACAGTGATCTGACCAATCAAGTAAAACTTGTAGGTAGAAAAATGACTGAATAATAACCACACACACTTGATTTAAAGCACGACACATAAGTATATGTGTCAGAAAACTGTCTTTTTAATGTGATCTTTAGAACAGAAATGTTATGGAGGCTGAATCTGGGAATTATTCTACTGCCATTGTAGAACTCTTCTGTTTTCTAATAACAAAACCCAGAAAACAACTAAATCAGTGCAGAAGCTGCAGGCAACGTAGCACTGTGCAATTTCCTTCCTTAGCTCTCTGTTGGCTGTTGACTCTTCAGGCACTTGCCAAAACTTGTCATATTCCATCACAGTTGGACTGATGACAGGAACCATAATGGCTTTAAGCATTACCTAACATTTTGGACTGTATGGACAGGGCAGTTCCAAAGTGATGAAAGTGAGATTAAGATAATTGAGCATATTAAGCAATGCTGACTGAAATCATAGTTCCTTGATTTATGAATAACATATAAATTTGCCTGAATTTGAATGCTGCTGATATCCTTGGTTTTCCATTCCCTACTTTTGTTGCATTTTATCATTTAGAGTAACCAGTAACATGGAACCTTGTTTAAATAATAAATGCTATATATGGGGACAGTACTAAAGTTTTGGAAACTATTTATATTCAATCATTTTTCTTCATTCCCCGCAAATACTTTTAGCAGCTCATCTGTTCCTTTAATAATCTAAACAATAATCTAAAGTGGCTGTTGGAAAAAATGTTCTCTCATCACCTCAGTCACAATTTCAACTACTGATCTGGTAATTTAAGATATTCCCTGAGGGAGAAAACTCCACTTTATAATGAATAGTCAGGGCAAATAAGGGAAAAGTCAAATATATTTCCACTTTATATTTAGACTCAATTTCAAAAACTGACATGTATATTATTGAAATATTCTAAATAGGAGGGTGTCATTTCTAAAACTCATTAAAAATACATTCTGAATTTTAAAAGAGAGCCATTTGCAGAAGTTCATGATTTGTGCTTCAATGCATGAAATGAAAATTGCCCATTATCAAATACAGAAGATGTCAGCAACTTCTGTTCAAGAGTTGTTTGCAACTACAGCACAAAAAGCAGGCATTTTATCAACTGAGAAGAATAGTGGTAGAAAAGAAGTTAAAAAATGATTGAATTTACTTTAGCCTCACAGCAGTTCAAGTGAGAGGAATTAGGCAAAGATTGAAATACATGCATGCGTTCTTCCCTGAAGTTAAAAGGAGAGATTCTTATTAAAATATGGCAGTCTTGAATGCAGCAGTTTCTTTATAACAGCACAGAAAGGTGAAAATGAAGGCTAGTGTTTTAAAACTGAGACAATGGTGAAAAAAGAATGAAGGAGCAAATACCAGAAGAGATACAAGGTAGAGATACAAGGTGGAAATAAACTGATGTGAAGAAGCAAAGAACTTATGATGAAGAAAATCTACTTGAACCTTACAGAAGAATCTCCAGAAAGATGAGACTTAAATTTGGTATAATGCAATGTTACAATATTAAGAGGAATATGAGTTTTTCGCTGGCATATTCAACTCACAGGGAATTGGAATGTGAAGTTCTCAGTAATGGCGTTGATACCAGTGTGCCGTTGTGTGGCAGTTTCGGTGAAGAAGGCAATGAGCAATCTGTCATCTCCTCAATGTCCGAATGAGAAGATGCTGACTTGGGGGATTTCTTCTTTCCAAAAGCTTGCTTGAAGGAACTGCGCAACTGAAAAGAGAACAGCAAAATAAACATATAATGGATCTGGGGGGAAGTGCTTTATGACAAGAAATGAAGAACAGAAGAGAAAAGAGCTAACATGCAACACTTAAAAAAAAAAAGTTACCTATGTAATTCCATTTGGTAGCAATGCAAACTGAACAACAGAAGTAATTTCTTCCTAATTGCTTTATATCTTGTTAAGAAAGGGCAGGATCTGAGTTGCTTTGCTGAAGAAAGTGCTGGTGATGACAAGAGCTGTCTGGAAGCATCCCCCCCCCTTTTTTTTAAACAAGACCTATTCCAAACCAAATTTTCATTCCAAGGACCATTTTATTAAGATGTTATGAGAGGCTGCAGTTATGAGGTGATACGGCTCAGACAAACACTGATGCAGATAGGGTTAATGGATGAGTTTAGCTTATGTATTTTAGTACTTAAGATATATCTTCCTTACCTCATTGACCTGCCACAGGAAGTGCAAGCAGAAAGGGAAGGGGAAGGAAAAAAAGACAACTTTTAACAGATAAAGCCAAAGACAGGGAAAGCACTGGGTTGCTCAGATAAATTTACCCCTCTTCTCCCCAAAAGCAGGCAAAAATAATTATGCTAGTCAATCTTTTCCTCACATTTTAATGTATGATTGGGATGTTTTGCACACCTAAATAGTTGACGTACAGGTTATTGTCCAAATGTATACAGTATTCTGAACTTCACCAAATCCAGCACAGGAGGATGCATATATTTTTACCTAAAAGCCCTATTATTTTTTTCCCCAAAAATGATTGTGGGCTTGGAAGGATTTATGTAAGTGACTGGAGATCCTATAAGGTTGTAATGTAATGTGTGCAAAGTTGTAATCATGTTTTCTCCCACACTCACCATTAGTTTAATACACTGAAACTGAATGCTTCTAAAAGTGCAAGCTTGATCTCCTCCATATCTTGAGAGATGGTACGGAGCAGGAAAAATAGGATCTTTGGGGACCTAATATTATGTACAGCAAAATCAGGCCTACATATATATCCTTCCCATTTCTCCTCCCCAACCATTATGGAAGTTATTCTCCACTCTAAGACATTTTGTATTTATTTGATCTCCTTAAACCTAAGGCAAAGAAATAATTCAAGACATGATTTTTTGGTAAATCCAGCTTTAGACAATCCCAAAATCTCCAAGTCAAGTGCCAAAGAAGAAAATATACATAGTCTAGTGGTAAAAGGTCTTCAAGTTAATACCAAAATCACACTTGTAATATAACTATTTTGAAGACCAAATTATATTGATAAATTAATTAGTGAGCTAAACAGGCTCTGCAGAATGAATGTTATTCAATTCTTGTTTGGATTTTTAAATGCATTTGGGACAGTACATGGTTTATTTGGACACAACTCAGAATCCTAACGTTCAAAATGGATTATAGGAACTAAGAGCTTTAGTTCAAACTACAACTACTTTAAAGATAGATATTTTGGCTTCATAATTCTTACAATGATTGCTAAAATAGGCCCCATGGGAACAGTGAACATAACTAATACTTACTCAAAAGCTAAACAACTTTATTCAATAAACAGATATTCTCTTATTATCAGAGACTGGCTAATACAGTGCATGCTATATAACCCACAACATGTTCTTGAGGCCACAAAAAATACTAGCAAAATTAAAATGGCCAAAATCTCATGAAATCATAAAATCTCAGAAGGTTCCAGTATTTTTATCTAAGACTTTGGGCAAGGTCATCAATATATCTCAAATTAAAATAGGGAAATCCTGGCAAGATTCAGCAATCTCTGAAACTTTGTGTTCTTTTCATGGATGATTATTATTAACTTTGTGGGGGACTTTCATTATACAAAATTGCATGATGGTGTCCACCACCTGAAAAGCCTGTCAACTTTTGTCTTACGTGCCACATGAACTGTTGGACATTTATCTTAGCCATGATTACAAATTACAATCTGTGTGCTAGATTGTATCAGCTGATTTGCATTTAAAGCAAAATATCTTCCTTCCATCTTTTGTAACGTAAACTTTTGAGTGTCTATGTCTGGGCAACTCTTCTCAAATATGTTACAGAAATTTAGATTTTCAATTTACATGTCTTTAGATTGCCTGCCCCCTCTATCCCCCTTCCAGGCACAATATATCTGGAGCAATATGCATGCCTATGGTACGTGACTATGTGTTTAACTCTTCCTTCACATGCTTTGCCAATCAAATTGGTTCTCTCCTATAGGCTGCTTTTGCCCACAGTATATAAGAATACAACAACGTGATTACAGAAAAACAAAAGGAAACCCCAGATCAGAGATGCAATCCTGCCACAGTTCTTATAGATTGGATTCAGCTGACACATAGTAAAAGAATCTACTGAATGCCTCTAATATATCATCATGGCTCAGAACAAACTTTTACCTAACCTACTTGGCTCCTCATATAAGATCTTTTGGCATATTCAAGGAAACATGCTTTATTCATTGGAGGATATTCTTCAAGCATACCCAGTTTTTTCTCTTCTTTTTCTTAGAGTCACACTCTATGTTGCTCCCCACACTGGAATGACTAGTAGCACTGTTAATGCTAGAAACGCTGTCTGAAGAGTGTTGTCTTCGGATCCGCAAGTCAGCGGTCTGGGCAGTTCCGCTTCCTAGATATTAATTTAAACATAGTTATAGACATTTGGAAATGACATTTGCCCTTCTTCCTCTACTCTGAATGTTTTCTATTGCTGCCCCTTATCACCTTATCCTTATTGTTTATACTGTTTTCTTCATAAACAGCCAAGCAGCTAGGACCTTACATTGTACTTTTTCAACAGATATTTCTATATCAAACCTAACTCAATTCCTCATCCACAATTGTCCACAATAGACAGTTGCCATAGCTGGATAATGTCATTACGGTAATCATAGAAAAAGAACAGGCCTTTTCAGAGGCATCTGCAGCTAGCCACGATGAGTCCAAAACGATGAAATGTCCTTTGTGACCTCACAATGCAAGCCCAGCCCTTTCATTCTTGGGCCATGACATCACATGCAAGAGATGGAATTTGTGTTGTGACACACAGTTTCTCACCAGCCTGCCTGCCAGTGAATGCCATATGTTAGATTAGAAAAACAGTACTAATTAAAGCGAATGAAGAAAGAGAGCAATTCTGATGGCTGTATAAGATTATCATAGTAATGAAAGGCAAATGGCAGTGACATGTCCATGACAGACTGTAGAATACCAGGCAGATAAACATGGCAAAGAGCTGCAAGACAATTTCTAATTATCTCCCCCTTTTGTTTTTCTTTTTGCAGATGTTTGTAGTTTTAACCAGGCTTAGCACCTGTCTGGTATTAGTGCAGCTCATATATCTGAATACTGTCTACTGTTAAAACTATGGTTTGTTTTTTTAATCTAAAACTATTTAAAATTATGGTATACTAATAATAATGCCATGATTTTAACTCTTAAATAATTCCGCTATTCTTTTTAGTGTTAAAAGGTATTAAGTAAGAATTTAAAGTTAATTTAAACGTAAATTAAATTACATTTTACTTTTTATATCCTGATTTTGTTTTTTAATTTCGGTTAGCCACCTGAAGTGCTCAGCAGGGTAAGTGTGCGGGTATAAAAAAATAAAGATAATTACTGATTATTAGCAAAGATAGGCTTCTTATTTTATGAAAGACACTTCAAAAATTGTTTGATAATTATCTGTCTCTGGGAAAGAACTTTGCATCAGCTATTATCAGGAGGATGAACGTCCTCAGAGTGCTACATTGTTATTGAAAATAAAGATTGCATTTTTTATTCTTTACCTTTGCAGGTGAGCTCAGGTGTGTTAATTACTCCATTAATGGCAGCCTGAGCAGCAGCATTTTGTTTCTTCAGCAATTCAATCGTTTTTCTTAACTCATTCAATTCTGAATCCTGAAGCATGAAGAAAACAAGCAAACAAGTTAAAAAAAAACACATTGAAGGTTTCAGTAAGAACAATTGATTAGCTGGAAAAATGTTTAGCACTCTGGTAAATCTGCAGCTGGTACCTGAGAAATGCCAGCTATCTGAACATCTTTCCAAGTGGCTAGGGTTTGTTGGTATTTTGATCTAATTGATCAATGATGGCTAGAGGAGTACTAAAGTACAGTACTCATCTCACAGAAACAGTTCAATTTTACATCTGAAATTATTTAATAGATTGGTTTGGCCATTCCATTCCTTCAATAATCATATTGTCAAGGAATCTGGGCAGTGGATCCCCTATACACTTGGAGGGCATCCAACTGGGTAAGGCTGGTCTGTTATCCATTATATATTTCTAGTACTTCCCTCAAGGTAAAGTGGCTGGATTCTAGCATCTCATAATCTATATTTTTATGTATTGCCTTTCCTGCTTCATGGAGCCTGTCTCACCTCTTCAACCACAGGGTGTACACTCATGGCTTTTTGATCAATATTGTTTTCGCCATGTGCCCAATCCATTGGACAATATGCATTAATCTGTCAAAGGTATTTTGTTTCCTGCACTCACACTGAGATGGTATAAAATTCAGTAGCCTCAACATTTATAAATTATATAGATCAGAAGGCATTAATGCTAAAGCATTACTCAAGTTTAAACTTTTAGGCACTTTAACCAAAGCTAAGGCTTCTAAATGTGTTGTTGGCTGCAATCACCTATTTGTTAGCCTTTACTGAATTCAGGGGGACTTTACATCTCAGCTGATAAGTCTAGGACTGGATTAGATGATTCTATCTATTATCCCAAATGAAATCAGAAGGAAAAAAATTAACACTAAAATTGACAAAGGAGTCACTTCTGAATACATGTATTATTTTTTATTTTTATCTTTATGATAGATCCACTGTTCTGTAGAAAATACTCGTGATCTAGGTTTAAAACATCTGTTTCTATATGATATGAGCAGATACAGGAAAACACTTTTCAAGTATAATATTGGCCTGATATAATCATTTAGTGTTGGTGTATTTCAAAGATAAGCAGATCTCTTCGTGCAAACTTTCTGAATAAGAAGCCATCTGGGAACTGCCTATAAGCTATTTAGCTACAGTTGAATGGGAAGCAACTGCAACAAACAAATTTATTTTTTGCTTTATTATTAGCCTAATATTTTTGCTCCCTCTCTAATGTACACAAGTCCTGAAATTTAATTTTCTAGAAATGGAGAGAAAGAATGTAAAGGTTAAAATATGGATTGTAAAAAACTCTGTGAATGGAAATTAGGAACATGGTCAAAAATCTCCTTTGCTTTTTCTTCCAGAAAAGTTTATACATTGATTACTAGCAGAAGGGCAAATCAGAATCCTAACCTATGCTTAGGGAAATTTTATTTTGCTTGTTAGCTTGATCTCAAAGTCATCATTTACAATGAACTCAATTTCAAAAAGTTGCTTTTGGAATCATTGTTCATGGATAACATATAAGGGAATGTCAAACTTGCCTTCTGTTCTGCAGTCATGGTAAGGCTTTGCAGTCTAATGGTCATGTTTCCTAGGCTCTGCTCAAATGCTGCCACAAGGTGAGCCTGTAAATTAAATTATATGATCCAGATGGTTATGAGATTGTCTGCTGAAAAATTTGTAGGATATTGCACAGCACACATGATGATCCACAGATGGTCCCACTATGCTACAGCTGTCCTTTACAAGCCCACCACAGATACCTGAGATGTGGGAAGCAAAATCAAGTATCTCTTTACCAACTAGCTGTACACCTCTTGCATACACAGCACCACCTGATCAAGGAACAAGGTGTTGTAAGTTTCCATGATTCCTTACATAGAACTGTGGAACCTGTTCCAACTAATGAGAGCCTCAGATTATGCTGTTGCATAGCTACTGATTTGTGCAGGATGCTGATCCTGGGTGTGTTATCTGGGGAATACTGGGAGTTGAAATCCACAGCTTAAAGTTGCCAATTTGAGAAACACTAGTCTAAAGGATGGCAGCTTTTCCTCCACCACAGCAATTTTTCCTATGATTATGTGGTACAGTAAGTCTTCTGCAGTCATCTCATCAGCACATCCAATCTATCTGTCCTCACATTCACAGTGAAAACAACCATAAAGGAGATGGAAACATTGGGATATGTGGCTTTAATTCCTCTCTGGCCACTATAAAAACAAGCCAGACTGAGACTGTGAGAAAAATGGCAGAAAATAAAACAAGCTTAGCACAGAGTACATGTATTATAAAGCTGAAATGTTTATTTAAAAAATACCGGGGCAAATCATTCCTGTTTGAAAAAATGTGCCAACTATTTCAAGTACTAGCAAAAGCTTTCAGTTCAAATAAAGAGAGAAGTGGGGGAGAGGCATTTAAGATGAAATCAAATTTCTAATTTTCATGATGTGAAGCCTAAAATATGTTTACTATTGAACAATTATTCCACCTGTTCTTCAAAAAAAAAAAATCCAGAAAAGATGTTCACTATCTTTTGAATAGCAGAAAGCTTTCTTAATAAAACATTCCTACTTATATGCTAAGTACGTGACTGAGCCTTACACCTAAGTATTTCATAGTAATATAGCAGCCTCAGTTCTGGAAAGCAAGGCATCCATTTGGCAGTTTGTGGGTGTGTGGAGTTCATATCCCAGAATTCCAGAGCCAGCATGGCCACTGATGGGAATTCTGGGAGTTGAAGTCCATATACCTGGAAGCTGCTGAGGTTGGGAAACACTGGTTTAGTGCAAAAGAGGAATCTTTTAAATTCATGACAAATATTAATCAAAATTGCATTATTTGCAGCAATTTCCCTACATTTAGCCATCCTGAGTACTATATACATACTTGAGGGGCAGGATATATATTTAGAAACCTCTTTTTGGATGGGTTGGTTTCATTTCCACACTATTTTATAGTCAGTCCCTTGAGACTGACATTATAAATTCTGATGATACAACAGCTGCACCAACTTGATCAAAAACCTAATCATATGTGGAATCTCACCTCCTTTTTTGCGAAAGAAAAATCACGTAAGCATTTTTTTACAGAAATTATATCCAATCTGAGTTATGTATACAGTAATGCACAGAATGTCCCCTGTTCATTTCAGAAGGAGCTAAACCATCCATTTTTAAAAAAAGGGATGATAGGCTTCTTCCATTACAATGAAAGGAAGAAAAAAGAAGAAAGATGACCCCAAGATTTTCATGTTTGCTTTGGAGCTACAGCAGTTGGAATGCATACAACATTTAAGATTAAAGTCAACACACAAAAATGTGTACTTTGAAAAATATAGGCTTCATACTGCCTAAACCTTTGGAGCTGCTGAAATGTTGCAATACAATCCTCCAAAAATATATTTCAAAACAATTAACAACCTTAATAAAAAAATCTAAAATGAATGTTACTAGTCACTGAAGGAACTTTCATTTGTTTCTGTTACGAATATAGCTATCTAAAGCTATCTTGTATTCCAGATCATTCATTACCATCAATTATCAGTATCTGTTTCTCTGCACTGTACTCACGTTGGCAGTCAACTGGGTTGTTAGAGCTGAAACTTTCTCCTGGGATGCATCCAACTCCCTCCTTAGCTTGCGAATCTAAACATTATATTTCAAAACATGGTTTTGTTTAACAACATCTTCACAATCGATATTGAAAAGCTACATTTTTAAAAATGAGAGAAAAACCCCATCCCATACAAGCTGCTATTTTAGAGAAAGATGAGTGATACACACACACACACACACACACACACACACACAAACAAACAAACCCTAAATAACTTCTGGACCAAACTGAAGACACAACATTGGCACAGTTATAATGAAACCCATCATTATTGGCTCAACTACTACAAATAGTGCCTTCTCAGTCATGGCATCTATTTTGTGGAATTTCTTTTTGATGGAAATTTTCCATATTCACGCTCCTGGTCCTCTGGGAAAGCACTTACAATTCAAGTTATTTTATATAACTGATTTCTACTGTTATTTATTCTGTTGCTGTTTGTTGTTCTCCACTTAATTTACTGACCTGGTTCAGACATAATGGTGGACTAAAATGTAGTTATTTGTTTTTGACTGAATGTGATTTGTGAATTATAAAACCACTATGGCTTTTTCTATGAACCATGATTAAACAAACTATGATGGGTACTACATTTCAGCACTTTTGTCCATTTACTGATTTGAATACTTGTTTTAACTTTTATGTAAGCTTTTATCCGTATTGCTGTTAACTGCTTTCAGAAATATTTGATCAGAGAAAGAGAGATAGAAGAAGAGTCTAGTTTTCTAAATACTAGGTAAATATTATCTAAGTATTAGCAAATTGCACTAGTAGATCTTCCTAAGAATTTACATAGGAGTATAGCCAGCAGAAAAATTAATCATTATGATTCAGTGGTATTCAGGTTAAATTACATCATGCACTAGATTAGATTAAAAGTACTACTCACTCTCAATTCAGTCAATTCATTTCATACAAAATACACTGTCTATTGGCAAGCAACTTCCTAGCAGTTCCCCAAAGCTGTTCTTTATTTAAAATGCAAAGATAACATCCAAACAGTATTTCTACCCAGTAATGACTAGGCCCATGTAGTTCAGATCAGATGACTGGATACAGAGCAAAATTTATTGAGCATTTGAAAAATTAAGATATTCAAGCAAAATACAAGAATAATACAAATATTACACTGGTGGGGATGTCTCTCTTCACAAGTTACCGATAAATGTAAGCAGGTGCTTAATTGCAATATAGGTACTAGCTTCTGGTGATTCTTGAAAGATGGTTTGGATCATGATTGAATTATTGAGGGAGGTAGGGAGGTTTGGGAAAGTTTCCAGCAGGGAAAAGATAACAGAAAGAAACAAGCCAAGACTGAAACAAATCTACGGCGAGCTATGAACTTTTCAGATGTAATGGCCATTTTGATGTCCAAGAATTTATTTTAAGTCAAAGCCAATGAGATATGACTGTGGTGAAGGATCAATAGCAATGAATACAAATATGCAAGAACGTTTTGGATTTGATCCAGTTCATTCCTGTCCTTGAATCATTTGTACATGCAGTCATTCAGCGTGTACAGCATGGTGTATGGAAGGTAGTCCAATAAAGTTGGTGGAAGAGATTTGCATAAAGAGGAGCAGTAACAAATACTTCAAGAGGGCACTACATTAACATCACTGAATTTTAAAAACGGAGTCATATCATGCCCTCAGTTTCCCAAATATTTAAAAAGAGCACCTGCCACTGAATTTAGTAATTTTAAGGAAAACAAAATTCTCCTTACCTCTGATTGACATTTTTCTTCAGGCTGTGGGGGAAAAAAATGAGACCGCTGTTTTGAAAAATGCATTAAAATCAAAATTAAAATTAGGATTCATTTAATTTTTCAGCCTACCGATAACCATTTGACTATGTCCTTTCACTCAAAATACCTGATTAAATCTTTTGAGTCCAAAACATCTTTTATTCAGCTATGTGATAAAAGATGTTGTCCAAACCACATATTTTATTAATGTAACATTTAATAACACTCATGATGTGCAGTTTTATAATCTGAAAACAGGAACATCAAAATATCAGTATAAATAAATAATAAATATTACTGTACTCTATTCCATGATGTCAGTAAATGCAGCAGGCACAATAAAAAAAATAATATAAATACACTGTTAGAATTTTTTTTTCCTAGTCTTCATCTGCAAAAACCTGAGTTCATTGTTCTTTGTCTTTTTTGCTGAGTTGTTCCATGATTAGTTATAGGAATTAGGGCTTATAATCTACCAAAAAGAAATGTTGATTATTTTCTGCTCCAGTTCTGCAGTTATAGATTACTCTTCTAGTAAAAACAGGAGCTTATCAAATGGGATATGTTCTTCCTGACCAGCTGCAAGTTATGCTACACTGCTGGCCAACTAGCAGTGCATTTCTCTTAAAGAATATTTTTTGTAAGCTAAATACATCCACTTTTCATTAGGTAACATTTTATTTGAAATTGCTATATTGTATAAAACAAATAAAATAACTTAAGTAATTCCCTATGTGACTTCTGCTTTGATAATTTGAAGCCCAAGAGGACTTGTATTTGGCAGTTTGTAAACCACAGCTTCCCCATCTCCTGATTTCACAAGAATCTCCACCCATCTTATAGAAATCAAAGGATAAGGAGACAATGAAGCATGGAAGTTCCTTGGAGGAACAGATATTCCATTGTTCGCCCTAGCTTGAGCACATCGTTCTATTTATTAATGAATTAAATTTGTTAAATTTTTCTGCTGCTAACTCCACACAGACTGATAGTGGCTATGACACTCACCGTTGAGTAAATAGATGATGTGCTTGAAACCAAAGATAGAGACGAACCATGCACTACAGGAAAAATAAACAAACAAATTATCCATCTGACTTTTGTGTATACGACACAGTAACAACAGCAGATTATTACATATGCAGTATACATACTACGGATGTTCATAAGGGCTACGCATTTCATCAGCAGCCTAGTTAAAAATTGCATCACCAGTCATGAACATATTTACTGAACATAAATCTTTGCAGACGTATCAGAGAGTAAGCTGAAATAAATGGAAGCATTATACAGACCATAGCCCAAAATGATCTCAAATCAAGCTTTTAAAAATCATTATTTGGATGTAAGTATTTGCCTGCCTGCTGTGTTTCAAACATTGCAAGGTTATGATAGTGCATGGAAAATGAAACAGAAGATGATGAGAAGCAGACAAAGTAAAGGTTCAACTGACCAGTCCAGTTTCACCATATTGTTGGCCTGAAGCATAAACAGTAAAAGGGAGTTAAAAGATTTCGTAAATAAAGAAGATTGAATATTTTGGTGTGAATAGTTTAGGTAAAGACTCATTTAATTATAAGTCAGCATTGTAAGAGAAAGAACATTGGAATATATTTTGATATTTCTTAGGGAAAAAAAACTAGGAAAAATACATTTTTTGTCAAATATATTTACGAAATGGTTTACAAAATGTGGTTTCCTTTAAAAATAGTGTTAATATCTAAATTTATTTATTTACACTTAAAAAGACAAACAGAATGATTTAAAATAAATTTATCCAGCTTTGGTATCAAAACCTACTCAGAGCTACATGGTGCCCAAACTCTGTATATGTCTACAGTTGAAAATATATTGTATTATTTTCCAGAAACACTCTGCCTTCCTATATTACTGCTTTTAAAATGGACAGTCCCCCAGTCCTTGAAGAATAAGGCTATCTGCTGAATGAGGCAGGAAGATACGCTCTTTCTATATGGTCCTCCTGACTCCTCGTCTTATATTTCAATAGTTTACATTGCCAAGAAGCAGAGGCTGCATAGATCGCTAATTACCGAATGGCACACCATTTTGTAGGATAATCATTGCAAACTAAGGGTGTTGCTTTCTGATTGCCTTCCTTCTAAAAACACCCCCAAGTGTAATAGTTTAATAAACTATTAAAATAATAGTACAATAGCAACATAGTTGTCAAAGTAAGGCATCTGGATTCCTCACAAGAATTGTACAGAGCTACATAGTTATAGCTCTTTAGGAACTCAGTTTTAAAGGCATATTCAATATTTCATATTGAAACTGAACAAATGTCAACATACTGTATATAAAATCATTGGATTGTTAGCATTATCGGACAATGACACATGATTGCTATAGAACTATTTATTGTACAATATGTAAATATTGTAAGTAAATTTAAAAATAAATACCACCTTCAGCAAACATGTAAATAAGGCTGCTATATTTTATAAACCTAGTTATATAATGTACTCAAGTTTGCGGTAGTGACTTTATTCTGGCATGTAAGTTTTTTGAAATGTGGTTTTATAACATTTGAATTCTGCTTCTAGTAGACATTCCTAAATCATTTTAAGGGAGGTTGTATGAAAATAAATCACCTGCTATTGTTACAAATTCCCAAAAAAGAACAGTGATTTCTTGTACTAAGCAGCTTACTTTTACATTCATCAAATACCAAGAATATTTTACAACCTCTTAGTTGACCGAAGTGCTTATGTGTCTGAAAATCTGAATACCAAGTGTGATGCTTCTCTATTACAAGATTGCATATTGAATTATTCTGCTTTGAGTCTGATATTATCCTTGGCACAGAAAATATTTTACATTTCACCTGATATGCTTTTCATTTTTTTTTCTTTTATTAAATTTACAATTCTCACAGAATGCTAATTGCCAAAGAAATTCCAGCTAAAACATAAATTAATGGTCTCTGCAGTTTGTGGAAAAAGGCAAAAAAGAACTGTTCCGACCCACAAAGGTCACAATTAAACATAAAACTTAAGAACTATACTAGGAAAAGTTTGATCTTAAATTAGGTAATTAAAATCTCAAATTATTTTGGAACCTTCACAATAATGTTTTACCTCTAACAGAAACCAGACACATTTAGTCCAGCAACTGGTCACCCAGGTGCTGAGCTCAGTGAACAAGATACCAGTTTGAGTCAGCAAAAAAGTTTTTTTTCCACAGCTAGTTTTTAGGTAGTATAGCTGTTTCAGAGAAAAATCTTGAAAAACTACTTTTTTCCCCCAAGTGAATCATTATCACAATAGTAGGCACAACCAATTCACATTCAACTGATAGCAGAAGAAAAAAAACTGGGAAGGGAAAGATCACTAACCTAGGAAATTATTCTTTGATCAGTAAGTTTGGGTAAGAGACAATTACTGTTTTATGTGTCTAACTCAATATTTCCATCCGGGCCTTTTTCTATGCTACCTGCGAGCTTCTGTTTTAAATGCCAAGAATCTTTGCTCCCTGTCACCTTTACTGTCAGGCAACGTGAGTTGAAGGCAACTTAGAGGATGCTGTTGCTTCAAGGTGCTAGGATGCTTGAAGTGGTGAATTCCCAGTGATCTGCACTGCTGGTGTATGAGAAGGAGTACAGGACATGCCTGGTTCTGGGTCCAGGAAGAGTGCCAGAGGCCTTATTCCCCCTAGTTTGAGCTAATGCTCTACCAATTGCCAACAAGTTGTTCCACATTCCTGACTACAGTATACCTAATTCAGACTTTGAGGCAAAAGAGATTTCTCTATCTCTGCAAGAGAATTTCTAGATGCCCTAAAAAGGTCATTATTTGAAATTAGTGATATTTAGGTAAGCTCAAGGTAGGGGTAAGCAATATGGGAGGTCTGTACACACTGAAAAAGAGGCTTTATGCACTCAACCTCAAGGGCAGCATTAGGCTTTGTGGAGTATTTTACAGAATTTGATATCTAAAAATTAGATTTTTAGCTTGTTAATGTTTTCATCATCTTGATTAATTTGAACCATTTTTCAATTCAAGCAAAACACTGGCAACTGATTCCTACCCCATTTCTGGACACTGAAATTTCTTGAATTCAAAGCCCACTGTGTTAATTAAACAAAGTTTTGAATATGTGTTTTGTTGCCTTTTTTCTTTTCCCCATTAACTAAATAAAAATTTATTAACAATTAATAAACAATATTTGTCAAGTTATTTATGAAGTTCCTTCCCATATGCATACATGATCCAACTTTTGGAAAAAAATTAATTGGACCACTTACCCTCTTCAAAGCCATCCCGGAATGACCCAGAACGGCTCATTGTCCTGCTCTTTTCATCCAGTGACATTGAGCTGTTCCGGAACCGGGTGTCATTGTAAGGATCATAAGGGCCATCTGCGTTAGAAAGACTGTGTGTCCGTAGCATGGTTGGGTTGGATAAGCTCATTTGGGCTGCTGTGGTGGGGCTCGCTAGAAAGCAAACCAGAGACAGGAAATTCACATACATGCTACACTACCATCACAAATAAACAAACCAAACAATTACTATAAAAGCAAGGTAGCAGTCTCTAACTATCTCTCTCTGCAAATTTGTCCTAATAAGTCCTGCCTTAATCAGATAGGTAGAAAATAAGGTCATGGAAGAATCTTCCACAACCATGCTTACTTCCAACCATATTACTATCTTGATTCTGAACAGAAATGAAGATACCAGAAGCAACTAAAATTCTGGTAGCATATACCACAGAGTTGCCAGGCACAAATCCAGACATTATTAGAATATCAAGTCAGTTGGAGTCATTGGAGAGGACACTCCCAAAGCTAAAACTCCTTGGATCAGAATCTTCTTTTTCCGCAAGAAACTATTAGTTTGTACCCTTGGGACTTTGCAATCTTCACTATCAGATAAAGAAGACAGTGTACCCAGAAAAAATAACCAAGCAAAACTCCAGGGACAAGGCAAGCTTGTGGGTATCATGGTATCAGCTTGCAACTGTTCATCTTCTGATCTTATTTTTGAATCCTGTTCAACTTTACTGGTACTAGTTAATAGCGGCTAGGGCTGTGCAAAATTGTATTGTTTTGCTTCACAGAGGCTCAACTCTGATCGCTTGAGGAATTCACTTTAAAACATTACCCAGATTCAGAAAAGCAAGGCATTCCAATGGAAGGCATTGAGATGGGTCTCTTTATTTCACTTGGCTGCTTTGCTTTGGTGAAAATGTCTTCTACTGAAGGCCAATGAAACAAGCAATTCAGCATGGTATGGCAACACTCACACAGCATCTAGACGCAGGATGTGCATCAAGGGGGAAGTTCACTGAAGCTTTGATCAAAACAAAGAATCCCTTTGAAGTTTTGTATCAACCTAATAACTATTATTCTTATGACTCTATCAAGGCAAGTCTTTATGCAGTGGTTGCCAAAACGTCTTAGATCTTAAGCTTTATGTTCATTCATAGAAGATAAAATAAATAAATAATTTTTAAAAACTCAGCCATAATGTGCGATTCTTTTAAACCAGGTTAGTGAATAGAGTGAATAATTTTTCAGATATAGCATAAACCTTGCATGGCTATAAAAAATGTTACATGCAAAAGCAGAGGGAAAACAAAAGTGCAAACTCCTGTGACACTCCAAAGTTCTAAGTTAGAAAATTATGAGCATAATGCCCATACTGGTCTGGTATGTTTCAACTGGCATGCTATGTCAGACATATACCAACTTATCAGTATCAATCACCAACTAATTTTGCATATTTTCTAACCAGCTGTACTTTTCAGAGTTGAAAGAAAACATAAAAGTTCACTCACCAAGCTGGGAGAAGTTAAATCTAGTCCCAGATGGTGATGTGATGCTGGAACCAGAAGAAAATGGAGAATTGACCACGGTATCCTGAAGACCACCTGCAGAGTGTGAACGTAGCCATTCTTTTGCTTCCTCTTGACTGCGAAGTTGTGATGATGGTGTATACCTGCACAAATTAAAATCAGGATTTACTTTTTCTCAGAAAAATCTAGCTTGACCAAAATACAGAAGCATATGGAGAGAAAAGAGCAAAACTGAAAAGAAGTCTATGCCTGCCAGAGGACACTTTTTCATGTCAGTAGAATTAGTCTAGCTGAAAGGCTTGATTTTGCACACATGTATCAACTTATGTCTGTGCAAGGAACCATGAAACCTAATGTGTGACCTAAAGCCAGAGCACAACGGAGAACAGAGATCTTCAACTTGATGCCCCCTAGTTATGTTTAAACAACCACCAATATTCACATTCAACAAGGCCAACAGCCACTGCTGCCATTACACGCTAATTTTTAGAGTTGTCCCAACATCCCCTTCTCTGCCACAGCACTCAACCTGGGGAACACCATTCCCCCTGAGGTGAGATTGGCCCTAACCCTGCTGATTTTCTGGAAATCCCTTAAAACTTGGTTTTGTCAGCAGGCTTCGGGATATCCCATGGAAGTGGGAAGCCCATGAAACAGCTATATTGTACATAAGATATTGAAGGCACTCTCTTATGGTTTTAGTTATATTTATGTTTTAATTGTTTAATGGTTTTAAAAGTTTTATTTTAATTGTTCTGTTTTTATTGTATGCTACCCAGAGTCCCATTCATGAAATGGGCGGCTGTATAAATTTGATAAATAAATAAATAAACAAATAAAATTTAAAAAAATACTTGGAGGTTATCAACTTGTAGAAAGGTGACAGGGGAGGGGAGGGGAAAAGCCAGACCTATGTCACTAAAGTAGTGCTGCTCAAAGCCTAAGACAAACTGATCTGCAAGAATCAAACCTGAACACCTAGAAAAAGAACATCTACACGTGCCTATAGATTTTGTACATATTGGGTTCATAACCTCAGTGATTACCATCATTTGATAATGACCCAGCAGCCTGCCTCAACCTTTTGCACTCCAGATACATACCGTATATACTCACAGTTAAACCGAGAATTTTAGGTGCCAGAATACACCCCCAAAAATGGCTAGGCTCATCTGCGAGTATATATGGTAGGTTTCTTCCTCAGCTTTTTAAAAGTACCAGTATATCCCATATATATTTGTGGATAAGCCCATCTGCAGATAAACAGACCCTCAAATTTTTAACCAAAATACCATGAAAAATGTGCCATCTGCAGAAAACATACGAATATTTCAAGGGCTGGCTTATCTGCCGATGGGCTTATATGTGAGTATCTGGTATTCTGACCAATATACTGGTCAGAATACCAAATTGGTGAAGACTGGATTAAATACATACAGGCATCTCACTGACTAATGTGATAGGTATCATTTTTTTTTTCTTCTTCCCAGTGGTAAAAATAAAACAAGCACTGCCAGCAAATGAATGTACTCTTTAAAATACCTCCTCTAAAGCACAAGCAGTTACATTTCATGTACAGCAATGGTATTAATTCCACTTTTTAACTTTCATGTTCCAGAGTGATCTAGAGATGTTCATCTGTACTTGGCAGTAAAGAACTAGGGCTACTATCTAGCGACCATCTAGATTTTTGCAGTCCAGATCTGCCAACCCTATTAAAACTGAAGATTTTGCAGTTGTTATTTCTTATCAGTTGACCTCTATTTGGACATGCTGATAGTGAATATGGAAATTGTAGTCCAACACATCTGGAGACTGAGGAAGTCTATTTGAAAGTAATTGAGGATGCAAATGACAGCACTAGAAATAGCAGTCTTCCTGCCATTATCCTCTATTTTCAGTAAAAGTTTCTGATGTGAAAAGTTGTTCATGTGTATTAAGAAACTGGGGCCATAAAGAGGCACACAAATTTTAGCACAATAAGCAAATGAACAAACTACAGATACCTACCTCCTTGACATTTAAATGTTTCAAGCTTAAAAAATGGTCTTCATTAATAGCTGGAGACATTTGATAGGCAGAGAAAATATTACAAACCAATTAACTTACACAATCTTAGCCCTCCCTTATTTTACACAGTGCTTTTAGCATCCAGCTCAGTGAGGCAATCAAAGATGCTGCAAATAACAATGTGTTTATAGCACAGAATAAATTGCAGCTATAATTTAAAGTCATCAGTTCAGTGGTTGTAAAAAGCAGCAGCACAATCTAGTCTAAAGTTGAACCATTTCAAGTTCAACAATATCTGTGGAATTAGTTTAGAGCTTTCAATTTGTGACAATCAGATTAATAAATCTAGTAAAGTTGTAAGTCTTCATTGAAATAAGAGAGCATACATTTTCAGTGTAATTTTTCTTGATATCAAATTGTCTATAATACGTAATTTAAAAAGATATATTTATGGAACGTCTGATAGGCTTGATTCGATTCTTTTTTTTTTTTTTAAGTACAATTACAGCTTCAGCTACAGTATAGCAAAATCTGCACTTTTAATGACTTCTCAGTTCCTCTTGATCTGCATTTCAGAAGTTAACTGTGAGAATAGCATCATCCAGTTACTATTTCAGTCATAAAAGCTGCAAATTATTGCTCACAAGTCAAGCTCGGTGAGTTGGTTTTTCAAAAGCCAGCCAGCTATAGTTACAATCCCTGCTCAAGCTGAGAAGCTATGAAAAGAAGCATGTAGGTGGGAAAAGAGAGTAATGACCTGCTTCAAGAGGACGGGGGAGGGAGGACAGGGAGGAAGAGACTGCAGCCACTCACTGCAAAGCAGAGACCACCACCAGCGCTACTGACGGTCACGAAAGACACACAGGCAAAAAAGCTCCAAAAACCACATGGAAAACTACTTATGCTATATGGAAACACCAATACCTGAGTCCTTTCTTAGGCAAAGTGTTCCTATCAAGATGTGGGTCGCTGTAGAAAAGTTAAAAGAGAAAGAACTTCAGAGAAGAGCAAAAAGGGAATATAAAGGTCAGTTTGAAAGAGAGAAGAACACACTATTAAACAACTCTATCTTAGTACTAAAAAAAAAAGAGATGAAGGCCCCTGCCAAACCAACATGCAAAAGCCTAACCATGTTTAGACTCTGTTATACAGGACATGCACAAGGGACCATGCTAGATGAACTCAAACCCAAGACTTTGAGATCTCATAGCGCAATTCAACCTTCCCTAATTGGAGTCCTTCAGATGGAGATTTAGGAAAGGCAGTCTAACATATCTGGGGGACATCAGATTTGGAAAATGGTAAATACTTATTTTAATGCAACTTTTCAGGCTCATTTGGAAGTTGGACTGACCATTATTCTTCGCATTTCTCTTTCACAAAAGTAACTGGGACAGCTCTTTTCTTAACATGTACATACTTCGAATGAATGTTTCTGAGTAAATCTATACTAGTCATCTCTAATGATAATGTTGAAAAGTTGCCTTCAAAAATATATTAGTACAACGCTGTCCCTCAATTCTAGTATAAAATACCAAGAAATCTTCCAGTATCAGATTGGCATTAATAATACAATCTACATTTTTTTAAAGGTCAAAATGTGGATGTGTTGCATGAACTACCAAAGAGGCATTTGGACATCTATGAGGAAGATTATTTATTTACTTTCAGGGAATAAGATTATCATTGAAATAGGCTATATTCAGATCACACTTGACTGTCCTCAGAAGCATAAGTTCTGCACAGAAACAAACTATGGTTATAAATGTTCAAAAGAGTCTCGTTCTGAATAATATCTGCCAACACTACAAATACTTTTAGTTTAATGAGGGAGTGACTAATGTGTTGATCATATAACTAGATATTCTGAGATGGAACTTGAAATGAAGTGCATCAAATGAAATAAGTTATAGTCTACAAAAGTGTATGCCTGAAAAAAATACATTCACATTTAAGATCCCACAAGATTCTCTGCTATTCTTGTTCCAATAGAGTAGCAATCACCTCTCTGGAAATCACTTAAATATGTTGTTTGTTAAACAATTAAATATCTCTGCTAATGAATTCTGAAACTTAGTAAAAAAGAGTTTTCCCTGCACTAATACAATTCTAGTGCAGGAAATACAGAGAATTATATTCATTCTACCATTATAATCAGTTACTAAACATATGGTAGGAATAGCACTTCCAGTGTGCTTTACTACATACTGTTTCCTTATATTCAGTTTTACAAGGAAGCACACACAGCAATATATATCAAAAGAGCCAAAGATTCCCAAAATTGACACTGATGTAAGCAACTTATTACAGGGACTAATTTCAGCCACAACAGAAGAGTTGGGATAGGGAACCAAGACAAAAGGTGAAACATCTGAAAACATGGGGGAAAGCAGCATGCCACCAGAATGCAGAAATGCTAGTGAGAGTTTACACTTCCAGTAAAAAGATGCAGAACTGCATAAGATCGTTAACTCTGCATTGTTGGAAAAACCTTGCTTTTGTGCAAACCTTCCTCCAAAATAAACTGTGACATAATGCTGTTAAATATACTCTCACTGGCATGTCTTTGAGTGACAGTTAAACACACCCCAGTGAAATATACACAGTCTTGCACAATACACTTTGGCTTCTTAAGTGTCACAATGAACCCTCCTGGATCTTGTGCATTCTGCTACTCTGTGACAGCATTACCTGTCCTGCCTCCTGGGTAAAGTATTTCTGCAGAATTTGGGACTAGCAGCAGGGGAAGAGAGAGGGCTAGAAGAAGTTCAACAAGACAGAAAAACAAAACAACAACAAAAAGAGAGAGGAATATTAGCACAAAAGGAAGAAAGGGAAAGCTGTTAGAAAAAAAGAATCCATCAAAGGTTGGCAACAGTTGTTTTATGTTGTGAAGCCACAGATCATTAGAAGATTTTAGGAACTGCCTAAGTTATTCAGCATGGTCAGGTCACATCCAAAACATTTCAGAATGACCCTGGGATTTTCTCTGGAAGAGAATTTAAGGTGATTGCCAACATCTTCATCTTGTACTTTCCAAGAGGATGCCACGCTGGCCACCAAAATTGACTGTTATGTATAGAGATGATTACCTTGGCTATGAAATTTGTTTTATGATTTTATATGGTTTTGTGTTGTCTTTTTAATAGTTTTTCCTTCTTGTATTGGTTTGCTGTTTTTATACTGTTTTTTAATTGTTTGGGAGCCACCCAGTCTTGTATGGAGATGGGCAGCTCTATAAGTTTAATTAATTAATTAATTAATTAATGTCCAATGGAGATTAATCTAATGGAGATCCTGAATAAATGGTTAAGCTACTACCATTGCATGTAACTATACTACTACAAAATCAAGGCAGCCTATCTGGCGTTCATTTCAAGAATACAACTATCGGATAGTGCAGTTTTGAAGACCCATCAGGCAAAGTAGTAATTTAACTGAATTTGGTATCTGAACACTTGGATTTATCTCTTTCTGGGATGCATATGAAAATTAGAAAGGTCAGATCAAGAAATTATCACAGTCATCTGAGCCACAGAGTGGGCAGATGTCTATATTCTGCAGAATGCACAGCACTACATTTGCTAAGTAAGTAACTGAAGCCATAGGTACAATAGTGGATAATAAACATGTTTTCATTATAATCATTAATGTTTAACTTCGCAAAGGAATATTAAACTAAAAAGTGAACGTGTTTGATTCCAGTGCTTCCTAGACATTTGATCTTTTATTTTAGCATCCTCTAAATTTAGCACTATTTATTTTCAGCATCTGTTCACTTTAGATATAAAAACTAATATAACATAGAGAAAAATGGAAATAAATGAACAGTGACAAAATTAAGGTTGCTTATTTAGCAAGATGTTCACATAGGAACAATATATAAAAATATGATAAAAGCACACGTAAAATGATATGCAAGCTTCTTTACTTTTCACAGATTTTTAAAATACAAATTAAATGGCAGAAGGGATTAGAGCAAGAATTGAATGAATTTAAGATTTTTTTTTTCTTTTCTCTCCTAATGAAAGCTCTTCTTCTAAAACTGGTATTTGCTTTGGCATCAAGAGTGAAGCTCTCCACAGAACAGAGAGCAGTTTTGGAGGATGGGTTTTCATCAAAACTGCAACAGTGAAGAAAGATAATTTAATTATCACCTCTCCCCCCCGCCCAAACTGATGCAATGTGCATGTAAAATATCTGTGCATGATACATGTACTTTGTTCTCTAGTTTTTCAAAGTACATTATAGTTATTATATCAGAAATATAGGCCAATGTTGTTATACTAGAAATGAATGGCTGAAGTTCATAAAACTATGGCTTCCCTGATATTATTTCATGAATTTGTGGTGAAATGAGATCTGAATCATAGTCTTCTCGTCCTATACCTCTCTTTTGGCCATTAGGTTTTGTCTGTTCTTATGCAAAGGTGGACAAAGTTGATCCTCCCAACTGTCCACTTTGCTAGCAATAAAAAGGCTAATGCAAACTGTAGTCTAACAATAGCTAAAGGGCCATATATTGTTCATTCTTGCGCTATGAATTGATTTCAACTACAATATTTGAGATTTCATTAACCCAGGGCTAGGAGGTTACTGTATGAAGATACCCTGGATGGAATCCAAGAGGAAGCAGAATAGGAAACACATCTGGCTAACAGACAAGTCAGAGATGCAGTATGCTTTAAACTGTGCCTCAACATGACATAAAGTGTGTTTTTTATAATTATCACATCATTTTGCTATATATATCCCAAACTTGTTAATTTCTTCAGTTTACACTAAAAGGAATCCAAGTTGCCAGGGGGCAATTTTTCAAGTTGTGCAGAAAGATATAGAAGGGTTTTGTTTAAAAAACCACAATTGCTGGAAGACCTCGGTTATTTGAAATTTCCAAAATGATGGAGACCAAACGATGTTGACTTCCATTTGACTCTCTATATTACCATATGTTTACACAAAAATAAAACACCATCCCTTATTTACCAAAGAGAAAAGTCAGTCTGAATAATTATCAGAGATTGCTACCTTTAAGAAGACTTGAAAACTATTGGTCTTATTCCCATGTATAGCAGTCAGGTTAAGATTAAGCTCCTCAATATACAAACCACAAACCAATAACTGGGGAGACAAAAACTATTGCTATCTTTTGAAATTTTCTCACCTTTCCGACAAGGTTGTCTTAACACTGTTGGTTCTAACAAAGGGAGTCAGCGAGTCATCCTTAGAAGCCGCAATCAAGCCACTGGAAGAATTGTGGTTCAGCCCACTTCCACTGCTGAGAGAAATATCAATGGATTCACAACTGGTGTGCAGGCTGCTGACAGACTGGTATCCAATCCCATCCTTGCTTACAGCAGAAGAACTACTTGGATTAGTACCCCAGGTCAAGCTGTTGGAAGGAGCTGAGTGAGCTGAACTGGGACTAGATGCTAATGGAGACTGGTTTGTATCTGGATTTTTGCAATAAAGAGGGCTACTACCACCACTGCTCAATATGCCACTGCCAGAAGGTGATTCTGGATTTCCTTGCTGGTTCATGGTTGCATGTGGGTTGGAGATTACTACTGAATTTTTCATGCTTTCTGCTGTTGTGATGGGAGGTTGTTTACTTGGCTTTCCACCAAAAAGTCTGAGGAAGAAAAGAAAAATAAAGAAATCAGGTATATACTAAAAGGATATTGGACTTTAAAAAAGAAAGGCTCTAGCATATATGAAAAAATTATCCTTAATATGATTAACATTAAATTATAAATTAATTTCTTCTTCTGTAAACATACCTCCTTCCAGGAAAATCACAATGAGTGTGTTGTACTGTGCTAAATTCATTTGGACAGTACATATATTGTCTGAGGACCCCTAAATGGCAGCAATGAAAACCCTTTCCTGCCATCTAGCCATCATCTCGATTTTTGCAGTCTAACTACGGTAGTTTATGGTAAAAAAAGGTCCTGAGTGACCTTTTGAATGACCTGAACTATGGTAAAAAAGGTCCTGAATGATATGTGACAGTTTCACATTCCTTGCATTTTCTCTGCCCATGTTTAGCTAGTCAGTACAAGCAGAAACAGTCAAAAAGTGCTCCAAGATTTTCTCCTGTATTACCTAAATTTTCGTTTTGATATTGCTATGAGAAAAATACTCAGCTATTCGTATTTTAGTGGTACAGGTAGTCCTCACTTAACAACCACTCATTCAGCGACCATTCAAAGTCATGAAGGCACTGAATGAGAGGGACTTACAACTGGTCCTTGTAGTTGTGCTTGGTGACTGGCTTGCCATTATGACAACGCAGCATCCCGCAGTCGCGTGATCGCCATTGGCAACCTTCACTGCCAGCTTCTGATGAGCAAAGCCAATGGGGAAGCAGCAGGAGGTCGCAGATGGTGACCATGTGAGGTCGTGCTTAATGACCGCACGGGATTTGCTTTAACGACAGCAACCAGAAGTGCTGGAACTGCCATTGCTAAGCAGCGTGGTCACATGACATCATGTTTTGCGACTGTGTTGCTGGTCCCAATTACCATCGTTATGCAAGGATCACCTGTATATATTTTATAGAATGTGACTACAATGTTCATAATGTTTATTATGTATCCTATATACTGCCGGAGAAGCTATAACTGTCTTTTAAAAGAAAGGCAGCATTTACCTAAAAAGAGCACATACAGTCTTAACCAGAAAACTCCTGGGCTGATACTAAATTTCAACAACATCCCTTAATGGCTCTGTTATAGTTACAGGTAAGAGTGAGAAAATATCTAACAACAGACCTCTGCCCCCTCCCCCCAATTATGTTCCTAACAAAATCATTTTTGGAAGAGATGACCTAGAATAACTTGATGTTCCTCACAGATTCTTACAGATCCTAGCAATCATGCATCCTGGAAATTACCAGAATTTGAAGTCTACCATATTTGGAGGATGTCAGGTGGAAAACAGTGTTTTGAATAACAGGGCATCTACAGATTTTTATTGACTGAAGTTTTTCAAAAAAAGTGTTTCTCTTCTAGACTTAGACATCAAGGGTAACTTCCAGAATGACTTCTTTCCATCTTTCAAACTCAAACTAATTCAAATGAAAAAGCTATAAATACCTGCGCAGTGTAGGAGAGGCGACATCTGGGTACTTTACTGCTTGCTGGTGAGTACTCTGGGATGAATTGGATGTTGTCTGAGATGAAGGGTTTGCTTTAACTGAATTACAAGAGACCACACTTTCATTGTCTGAGGAGATCCCTTTCTCTTTATCGGTCTGGTTTATTAAGCCTGGCAGAGAGCTCCCAAGGGCAACTTTTGTTGGCTCTCTTATTTTAGGAACAGGCAGGCCTGCAGACTTGCTGCTTATGTTGGAGTCTATGCTGCTGGTGCTAGATCTATTGCCAGCTCCACTTCTGCTGCTGGATTTGCTGGGACGGGGTAAACTCCGATACTGAAGATTGGTTCGGGTAGTAATGGCTAAATAGCCATCATCCTGATTTTGTGAGCCATCAACACTAGTCTTCCGACCAGTAGACCTACCCATGAGTCCAGATGACTTGGGGATTTTGCCCAGAGTAGCAGCTCTACTAGTAATAGTTGCTCCACTAGCTGTAATCATGGTGACAGCTACAGCTGACCCACTCTGCTTTTTAAATCCAAACATGTTTGTATTAGTAGTAGCGGTTCTACAGTTATTTGCGGAAGGCTTTTTTGATTCATCCCCACTGCTTCGCCCAGCATCTGAAGGGGAACGTTTAATGTTTCCAGATTTGGGAGAAATTCTACCCTTTTCTGAAACCTTGGCATCATCAGTTTTTCCTAGAGGAGGAGGAGGAGGAGGAAGAAGAAGACAATTTCAAATATTGCATGACTTCAAATATTATGCAGTAACATTCCAATATTTTTAAAATTATTTGTAAATCGTTAATACATCTGAGTGCCAGGAGAACATACTTAATATATTATTAAGTTTAAAAACATAACCACTTGAATAGATTAATAGATGGGGAAAAGTAAAGCTTCCAGACACTTTTAATTGACCAAATGCATAAGGTTGATAACATGACCACAGGGATGCTGCATGGGTTGTAAATGCGAGGACTGGTTATAAAATTACTTTTTCAGCACTGTTGTAACTTTGAACAGTTGCTAAATGAGGTGGTCAATAAGCGAGGACTACCTGTATGGAGGTTATCAGGGAAGGCTGCCTTAAGAAGTGGATTCTTGGGGTAGAGCACTCTTTGAGTGCCATGATAGGATACAGACAGGTCTTTCTCATTTCTAAAAGAAGGATTAAGAAAACAATGGAAAACAAAAGCAGATTTTTCTCTTCTCTATGCTTTGTCTAAGAAGCATATTTCTACTTTCCATTTATCCCATGACAGCAACCTGCACACTGAGGATCTATACAGGTAGTCCTCAGGTTACAACCACTCAAAGTTATGATGGCGCTGAACAAGAGGGGCTTATAACTGGTCCTCAGAGTTCTGACCACTGCAGCATCCCCATGGCCAAGTGATTGAGATCCGGGCACTTGGGTGCCCAGCTCGCAATTACGCCATTGCAGCAAGCCGCAGTCATGTGATTACATTCCCTGCCAGCTTTCCACAAGCAAAGTCAATGGGGAAGCTGGCAGGAAGTCAGAAGCTGCTCCCACTCCCATTGCTTTTTTGCCCATCCACCCTCTGTAGTGCCTGCCTGCGGCATCCCACCCCCCAGCAGCACCCGTGCACCTGCCTGCATTCTGTAGTGCCTGCCCATGGCATCTGCACACCCCTATGCTCTGTAGCACCTGCCAGCAGCACCCCCCGTGACACCCATGCACTCATCTACTGGCCTGCTTGCTTGGAACTCCTGCCTCTTCCTGCTTAACAACCTGCGCAGTCCTGGGGTTATGATGGCAACTGGGACTGCTAAGCAATGTGGTTACGTGATGTCATCCCTTACAACCACATCACTTAGTGATGGAAATTCTGGCCCCAATTGCCGTCATAACCCGAGGACTACCTGTATTATCCTCCTTACTTTGTTTGAACTGCTGTTATGACAAGTAGATTGTACGTTAAAGATCTACCATATTGAGTGTTGATGAGGGATATTGCTACCTAACTACATAGAATTAGAAATGAGAGTAAAGAGAACTAAGAAAGGTCTCCCTCCTCCACATAACTTTCAGGAAATCTGTGGTATAATTTAGCTAGCAGGGAGTGTTGGAAATCTCCCTCCCTCCCTCCCTTGTAAGTCTCCCCCACCCGTGTGCCCTCCCCGAGTCCCTCTGTGCTCATGCCATGCCGGCCACTCTTGCACCCCTGTGCACCCTCCCTGACCTGCACCACACCCTTGCACACCCTCCCCAACCTCTGTTGCACCCTCAGACACCCTCCCTGTCCCTCAGTACACCTCTTGGTCACCCCCTCACTCATTCTCCCACCCAGAAGCAGCTACCTACCTATCTGCCTGCTGGCCTTGGACTTGCAACTTCCAGCCGGCTTCCCCGCTGACTTTGCTTGTGGGAAGCTGGCAGGGAGCATCAGCAATCACAATCGAGTTTAGACTTCCTGCTAGCTTCCCTGCTGACTTGTGGGAAGCTGTTAGAAAGCACTGGAAATGACAATCACGTGCTGCAGCTGACTGCAGCAGCACGGTGGTGCTGAAGTAGCAGCAGCGCAGCAACACTGAAGCGGTCACAACTTTCTCAAATTTCAATCCCACAGGAGTAATGGGTCCTGGACATTCTGTAAGTTAGTCCATTTGAGTACCCTGGTTCAAAAATTGTTGCCCTATGATGTACCTTCACCCAGTTGAAGGTTACAAACAGACATGAGAGTTTGGTAGTATATAGATACATTAAAATGCCCTATTGATAAACACATTAATCCATGCAAGAAGCATGCATTTTCCTGATCGAATCTCAGTTACCAGTATCCCTTTAATTTGGTAAAGACAATCAGGAAAGAAGATTTATTGCTACTTTCCATCAAAGAGCAGCACAGATCAAAATGCAGTTTGAAATCCTGGCAGAAGAAATGTATTTTTTAACTAACAGCATGTATTCTTGGCCTGCACTGCATGGCTTTTGGCTGTGCATTCCTCACCTGTTCCAGGTGTCTTCAAAGTTCCTGAGGTGGCTGCTGTTTTCATCCTCGGTGTGGTAATGCCAACTTGAGCTGACATGCCCCGTCTCCAGGATCCCGTCTGTGAAATGACGATGTTCTTCCTTCCAGAAGTGCTTTTATCAGATTCATCAGACACATCAGAGGGATTCCTTCTCCATTTAGATCCAGACTCCATTTTTACACCACTGTCTGAGCCTCCATCTGATTTTTTGATTTCATCACCAGACCACAAGGAATTCCGCTCCACTTGGGAATGCTTTTCAGCGTCAGTCTGTTGGAAAATAGAAATTAATCGACTTACACTGCAAAAATTTTTCCTCCCATGATCCAAAATCAAATATTTCAACATTTCAATAATTCATACAGATAAGAGTTCTGGCTTTCCATTTTTGTAAAGAATAAGATACAAATCTACAAACAGAAGATTAAGGAATCTGTATTACATTTGTAGCACACTTAAGTCAAAAAAAGCAAACAAATCCCAAACCATTCAACATTTCATGAAATGAGACCAAGGGAAAAAAAATATATTAAAAGACCTATCTTGATGTTGTGTAGCTTCCTTATCCCTGTATTTTGCACCACACCTTTCACTGCAAAGCACAAACTCCTTCACTTCAAATATGTGTTGAGAGATTCTTCCTTTGTTCTGCCTTCCTATCTCTTTGCCGGCAATTTGATCTGTGGAGCATGAAGAGGCAGCTTCTCGCAGCACTAAAGATAAACGAGGCTTTCTGTTTCAGTCTTGCCCAAACTTCATCATCAACTCAGGTGAGAAATGTTTATGAGTGACAATGATTCACAACTCCATCCCACTAAATTTAATCACCTAGATTGCCTATTTATTCATAATTAAATTTATCACTCTGAATTTATGTGAGTGATTAGAGAGTCCTTCAAATATAGTAACATTCTATTTTTTACTTCCTTATGATGGTTACAAGAGAGACAACGAGCTGGGCTGTATTCTGTATCTGCCCTCTTTGTTTCACTTGTACTGGCTTTATGAACTATCTGAAATCATTTGCAATTCAAATCCCTGACATGGAGACTAACAACTACCAATGCCAAAACTAATTGAAAAACTGTGAACACGCTTACACATATGGGAACCCAAAAAAGGAGATGCTGAGGGATCCATGCTGTGCACTTTTTCTTCCAGCCTGGTTTTGCTGGTTATCTTTTTAATACAAATAAGCAAAACCTTCTAATGTTCACGGATTTCAAAGTGCAAATACTGAATAATCAGGCACCACATACAATTACAGAAATCAAAGGTGATGCGCTTTAATTCTTCAAATGGTAAATGTTTAGTCAGTTTTAAATCCAGGGTTGCGCTGATGGTGCCTTCAAATTTTCATAGTTCATTTATAAACCACAAAAGTGAATGGGGGCATTTTCTATAATTCTCAGCAGGGGTGGGAGAGCAATGCGATTTTTTTCCCCTCAAGGGCAAATACAGTAGATTTACTTCAGTTTCCCCCAAGCCTGATCTCCTCTAGCTATGTTGACTTAATTTCCAAAATTTGGCCATTAAGGAAAATTCTGGGATCTAAAGTCCATGTATTTGGAAAGCCCCCAGTTTAAGGAAGGTTAATTTATTGGAAGAGCAGCACCTTTAAAAAAATCTTTTGCAAAACCGTTCCTCCAAGCAGCCTGACAACCGGGGCTTTGGTGTAATACCCCACTACTTTAAAAGCACTACACAATCATGTTTGGATGCTATTTCTTTGCCATCCTAAAAATGCATTTAAAAAAAAACACTATGTCCACAGTTCAAAGGAGACTTAATGGGGAAAATTTGGAAGAGTACTGTGAGATTAAATATAAAGTAAAAGAAACCTTCTAAAAAGAAAAGCAAGGGGGATATGTCATCATTCTTGCTGCTTTCCAGGTAAAGCTCTCTGCCTCTCCATGGACAAATTTCTTTGGGACTGTCAAAAACCCACAGCTCTCCTCCTTTGGGCCATGTAGTTCTGAAGTTTTACAAAACTGTTCAGAGCAGAACTATGTGTTCTTTCTACATTTAAAAACAAGCATCTAGAATCAGAAATACAATTTCCGGTATTTTGCCTGGTTTCTGTCCATGCGTAGTAACTAGTTGGCCTGTATAAATGAATGCCTCTAGTCCTTATTGAACCAAAGAGAAAAGGCGAAATATGCAAATGACATTTTGTCCAGTCCCCCTTCTATTGTAGCCAATGAGACAACTCACTGGTAAGAGTGACAGTGATTTCCAGAAAAAAAGCTAGAGTCACGCTTCAATTTTCCTGAGACAGAACTTCTGTGAGCATTGCTCCTAGAAAACAATGAAGAAATCTCAGTTAAGGTGTACCCATGATTGCACAGCTGCATGCCCAGCTGCAAGGCCTAGAATTTCTCTCTAAGACTTTTGTCATGGGAAAAATGTGAAAACCATTACTCTCATATTGCCGTTTAGAGGGTTTGGCTAGAAGGCTGTTTTAAAGCAATGCTCAAGTACAGCTTATTATATTACAAGGGGGCAGCTGGGGGTGAAAGTATACTTATAACTCTCTCACAGCATATTACACTTCACATAAAGCGGTCAGGCTGAGACTGAAAGTATAGCATACACCAGTGTTTCTCAACCTTGGCAACTTTAAGATATGTGGACTTCAACTTCCAGAATTCCTCAGCCAGCCATGCTGGCTGGGGAATTCTGGGAGTTGAAGTCCACACCACTTAAAATTGCCAAGGTTGAAAAACACTGGCATACACCAATCCTGTAGTCTTATCCCATGTTATTAATCCCACTTTAAAGTTGTACGAGGGCAGAGAAGGGACGATTACCCGGAAAAGTAGCCCATCAGGATTCTACAATATAGTTCACTGTTGTTACACCTTTACTGCAGATTACTGATAGGCTGCTTACAATACAATAGAGTCCTCTCTTAAAATTGCAAGGCAAAAGTGTGACTGAAGTGCAGTGAGATTGCTAGATAAAATTTTTCAATGGAGAACATTCCTAGGGTACAATTACTAGCCTATTTGCCTTGTCTAAATCTTCCCAGACCTATTGCAGCAAACAGAAACCTTAAACTCCATTGACTAGTCTGCAAAAGTCTTGAATTTCAAAATAATGAAAAGCAGTCATATTTTTCATACAAAATAAAGGTATAAATAGTAGTCAATCTGCCTAATATGTGTAGTGTCTAATATGTAAATTAATATGTCTGGATCTGGGAACTGAAACAGGCAGTCCTACAGAGAAAAAAACTACTGGATGACTGATCTGAAGCAGGGAAACTGCAGGTTCAGAAACGCCCGTACTTCTCCATTTCCAGTTACTCATCCCAAAAGTGGCTTTTCCAGTTTATAAAAGCTGTCTGGAAATTAATCAACATATAACATCTGGCTTGCCTCCAAGAAACGGGTATTCTAAAATCAAAACCAGTAATGAAGGATGCTATGAAAATCACAGCTCTCTGAGCGCACATAGTACAGCTATCAATTCAGCTCAATTAAAACTAAGATTTGCTTTGTCAGTGCTTCATTGGTAGATATTTGGAACATGATGTGTATGCTCCTTGACAGAAGAAAGATAAACGTGCTATAAACGTGCTAAATAAAATTGTAAAAAGACATTGCTGAAATCTCAGATTCCAAAACAACGAGGGTTATGCAAGGTCTTGGATTCCATTCCCAAAAAAACGCTTTAGAAGGCGTGAGAGTGCAACAATCATAGCACCTGTTGGGAATTCCTTAAAGCAGCACGGCTTTTTCCCAGGATCCCATCCTGTGCACCCCAAAGCACTTTTTGGAGATGGAATCTGAAGTGTCACTGAGCAGCACAAAGCAGGTCTGGAAAACTCCTTCCATCTCTTCCCCAGCCATTCCAGATATGGAGTTAAATCCAAACGTTTCCACCCATGGATTAAAATTCTGTTGAAGAAAGCATTCACAGAACAACTTTTCCAGAAATGCGGGCGCTTTCTGTAAAAGGGATGAAAGTATTCGATGCAACCTATCTGTTCATCCTAAACCACATAATACATCTATACAAATTAAGCAAACTGAATAAACATGGACAGTTGTACCAAAGATGAAGGAATTACTTTTGGTTAATTTAGGGGTTTTAAATACAAAATATGAATTATATTTTGGCAGAAAGGTCAGAATGGTCAGCATCCAATGCAATCACTCTGTGAAAGGAAGCTCACAGAAGGGTGCCTTTGGTGAATGAGGCTCTTGTTCTACAAACAGAAGCTCCTTCGATTCGTGGAGCAATTGCACTGGACTCCATCCAGTTTAAAAAGTCTCTCAATATACATTTTCTTCATAGACACAGATTATTGTGTGGTAAGGAAAGCAACCACCACGTCATACATACGCAAGCCTATTTAACATAGGGTTGTTCTTTTCTCCCAGCACTCCACAAGGGACATTTTAAAAGTAGCATACCTCAATATCTTTGTTAAATAATAAAATACAGAGAACAACTGAAAGAAAGCTTGTTGTTATAGACTGTGATTTTGCAAGAAATCAACCTACAGGCATAGGTCAATCACCTCATTTAATATTTGAATAATAATTTAGACACATAGACTGACTTTCTTTCTTGGTATTAGCAAAATACTTGTGACTTTTCAAATCTAGCACACAGAGTATATGTAAAATTGGATTTGCTCCAGCTTTTGAATTCTGCCAGAAAGTGAGATGACTCAGTTCATTTATAATTAAGGCACACACATACAAAACCAAAAAACAAACAAAAAAAATATTTATTCCTAGTCCATTGCATTGCTTTTCATTTATAAAGACTAGATGGGTGGAGGAGAAATTCATGTGATTCACATTTTGATGTTAATTTATCTAATTTGTACTTCTTGAACTAATCTGTGAGTCTGAAGCTGTGATGTGTTTTTCTGAATTTTGACATGTGGTCCTCAAAATAAAAATGTGCACAAAAATATGACTACATGGGAGATAGCAAACAAGTTACTGTTTATGTATATACTTGTTTGGAGGGAGGGTGAAGTAATCTTTTATATTTCTTTCTCTTTTATCTTTCTCTTTTTCTTTCTTTTCTTTTTATTTGTAGGTATTTCAGTTTTGTATTAGTTTTTATATATATAAACTTTAATAAAAATATTATTAAAAAAAGAAAATAGCAAACAAAAATGGACCATTTTAGGAGAAAATACTTGCAAAAGTATGTATATAATGGAAAGCGCATAATAAAAGGATAACAGGAGAAATGTGCCTGAAAATAAATTTTGTGTAGACTTTAATAAGTCTGGCAGCACTTTTGTGGCTAACAAATGTTATTAAAAAGCACAGGCTTTTAATAAAATATGTAGTCAAAAAGGTGCTACCAGAATCCCCTTGATTTTTTGCCACCAGAGACTAACATGGCTCTTCTCCTACAACTTCTCCTGCCACAGTGAGAAATAATCAAGATGTGGTAATTTTTCCAATAAAGCAGATTCATCAACTGGACTGGTATGTTAATCAGAAAAAAGCTGATACCTTTTAGGGGTTCTCCTCTATTTGCCTAGAAAGGTGTGCTGAGAATTCTGGGAACATTATTTTAATCTTCTATAAATAATACTTATGGGAGGAAACACAAGCTGCAGCTCTAGATTTTTTCAATGTACAGGGAGTCCTTGCTAACAACAGTTCATTTAGTGACCATTCGAAGTTACAATGGCACTAAAAAGTGACTTATGACCACTGCCTGAAGTTACAACCATCGTAGTGCTCCCGCGGTCATGTGATCATGATTTGGGTGTTTGGCAACCCAGCTTGCACTTACAACAGTTGCAGATTCCCCGGGTCATGTGACTGACGTTTGCAACCTTCCCGCCACCTTCTGGCAAGCAAAATCAATGGGGAACCACATGATCAATTTAACAACTGTGATGATTTGCTTAATGACCACCACAAAAAAGGCCATAAAATCAGGTCCAGTCACATAATTTGCTTAACAACCGCATCACTTAGCGACCTAAATTCCGGTTCCAACTGTGGTTGTTAAGCAAGGACTATCTGTATAATTTTAAGGAGTACTTCAAAACCAAGGCACAGAGCATCAAGTTTAGAAGGTAGCATTAGCAATTTCAAATCCAGGCAATGAAACCCCCAATTTACAAACAGAGGCAAAACTCTTTCATGCAACCATGGCTGGGCACTCTATGGCAAGCAAACAAAGGGTATTATGATCCCTGCATTGGTGTACAAAGGCAATTTAGCACTTCACGGCAACTCTATGATACATTAAAAACTATTATTAAAGTAATTTTTTGTTCTAGTAACAAGGGGGGGGGAAGGTAGTGAAGTAATAACAAAATATTTATAAAATAGTAACAATTAGAAAGAGTACCCAATTTGACCCCCATTTGAAAGAACCCCCAAATAGATCCTCCAAAGCAATTTGTGTGTGCGCGTGCGTGTGTGTTTAAGGTAGACAGATGGGGTATGTGTGCATGCGCATAAAATAATTATATGTGTTATACAGAAAACAACATAAACAGAATATATATGTTAATACTTCTGAGACAGAAAATTACTAAAAACGTCTAAGTGATCTAAAATTCTTTACCATGTTATCTGTTGGTTAGGAATACTGAAGGTTTGATGAACGTGAAAGAAACATTAGAATATAATTTTCTTGTGAAAAGCTGCCAAAAGCTCCTTTTAACTTGTAACAACATGCAGATTTGGAAAATCGGAATATACTTAATTAAATAGCAAGTGTTCACATTTCCACTGAGAATGTAATAACATTTAAGCTTTTGTGTGACCATAATTAGATTTCTGTTCCTTAATGAATATATGTAAACAGTATGGTTAGTTCTCAAATATGAAGTGTCTGTGTGAGTAGGACTGTACTGTATATTTGTAAAAGCATTTAACACCATATTACTGAACTTCAGACATACAAGTACTGCTAAACATCGTCAAACTCTGCTCTGGAGTGTCTCTGATTTTTTTTTTCCTAAAGATTTGAGGATACAAAGGAGGCTGTCTGAGAGACACAATCCAATTCTTTCTGCTGACAGATGGATAGCATTGGATATAACCCTTCTGAACATGAAGGGAGCTAGTGACAGCACAATTCTAGTCCTGTTTCCCCTTCAGTCAACAGAGCTAAGGCATTCAGTAGTTTCTCTCTAATCTCAAACCCCCATATCATTTATTCAAACTTCGTCACCTGTTACAGCCATATATCACACAGTTGGCCATGTAAGCACATCAATGGAGACATTTTACAGCATTAAAGCAAGGACATTAGCACGGATAATTCATTATTCTAATTTGTCCCCTTCCCTAGAAGCAAGCATCAGATTTTTATAACTATTGTGGCTACGCTCAATTAATAAATGTATTTAGAAGTCAGCCTTGACATTCTGCAATTATTTATTCTCTTTAGCGAGTGCCTTCAACATTAGTATAAATTGCCTGAAATCTAAGAGAAACCTTACCTGGGAATCTAGGTTTTTCCGCGAGGATGCAGGGGTGTTGGCATAAGAGCTGATGGAGGAACTTGTATTAATGTCATCAGTGCTGAGGTTATCTATGGTATCACTGATACCACTGCTGACAGAACTGCTGTCATCCCAGCTGCACAGAGACAAAAGAATTCCCATAAAGTTAATTCAAATACTGCAAACAACCATCAGTACCCCCAAAAAGCAGAACATATTAAGATCCCATTGACTAAGACTATTTTCAGAACCTTCCAACACAATCCAGGGATATCCCTAGGTAAACATCTTGGGTAACTGCTTTTAGACATAAAAAAAAAAACAAAAAAACAAAAAAACGTTGCTTTGAAAGAAACACAGAATCATGCTAATACAAAACCTGGATGGAACAACAGAAGCAGCCAAAATTTAGGGAACAGTGAACAAAACCATTCTGGATTTGAAAATAGCTATCCAGAGGTCATTATGTCCTTATAGTATTTAATGAATTCTTATTTTAATTACTAATAACCTATAGTTTCCAAACTTTAAAAGTGCTTTACAAGGATTCACTGCATTTCTTGTTCTCATATTTCTGTGTGGAAGGCAACCATTCTTCTCAACAGGGAACGAAATTATGAGTTTATCATCATCATCATTATCATCAGCAATCCTGGAACATGTGCAAACCAGCTGTTCACAGGCTTGTCTTTGAGGCTGGGCTTATATGGTTTGAAGTGGCTGAATTTCTTCTGTTTTTGGAGGGGGAGCATAGTTTAAAATCTCACTGCCACCCCCCTTCCCTATTTGGAGTTCTCATAAAGTTTGCTGCTCTCTTATCAGCTGTTTTCCTGCTATTGTTGTATCTTAGTTATACAGCAGTATGTCTTTTATTATTCAGAAGATCAATTGTCGGTAAACCCTTTAATATTTTATTTAAAGACTCCACGTATAAAAATTTCTATTAGGAGGTACATCGAATAACCTTGATGTTTATTTACAGAATAAGACTTTACTTTTTTATCTCTTCTTTTAAACTACCAATTGTCTGTTTCCTTTCTTTTCCCTCTCTTTACTGGGTGCTCTCTCCAATACAAATTCTCTTAGTATTCTGCACTGCCTTCCTTATAAGGAAGTGTCTGGTTAACCCTTTACTTGCATTCCACCAAACAACAATCTCTCATGTCATCATTGGTTATTTAATTATATGGAAAATTATGGAGAACATTTTCTCTGTCTCAGTTTTACCAATGTTTTAGAGAAGCTTCCCACAATATACTATTAAGATAAATATATAAAGGATCATTATGCACAATTGCCAAGTGTGTTTGGTGCATGAATACCCACGTATTAAGGTTGTGATATTCCCAACCAGTAAGCAGGTTTGGAAAATATCATATATAGCAGGGTGAAGTGGTTCTTAGGAACTGGATAAGTGTGATTGAGAAACCAGAAGCTATCAAATGAAGCAAACTTTGAACTGCTTCAAAGAGGAACCCATTTGTGTTCCTCAGGGATGCCCTCAAAGTGCAGCTGTGTGGAAACCACCTTTCATAGATGTCCCTGACAGGAGAATCTGCCTTTTCATCAACTTTCTCAATATACAGACTTCTAAATTCAGGTGCAGTTGGCAGAATGTAATGTAGGAGAAGAGATGTATCCAAAAGAAGCCTGCTGGCCCTAATTGCCAAAGTTTTAACCAATGAACAATCATATCCCTCAGCTTTTAAATACCCTATTTTTTTCCTACCAAGTACAAAGGCAGGATTAGCATGTTCAAAACTACAAATGCAATTTTTCAATCCCCTGAACATGTGAATGTAGCCCAGAAAGTAATGCACGTGCTTTATCAGTTGCAGTTTTCATATTACATGATGTGCATTAGATACAACTGCAAAGAGAAATGTTTTGAAAAAAGAATGTAATATTTATACATTTTTCAGAGGCAGCCCTAGGGAATTATTAGGCACTCACCCAGCTGTTTGCAATACATTCTGAAATGTAGCACATAAAGAATAGCCAGAAAAAATGAACTCAGAAGATATGATCTGGGATTGAGCTGCACCAATTTCAGTCAGGCTATGATTTGGGTCTGACGTACTAGTTCTATTACTGATTCAGAATGCAAGCTCCTCTTTCTTGCACAAAAAAGTTTCTTCTTTCCCTTCCATTATTTGTGTTTCTGTTATAGTATTTCAGCGGTGGCTCACAGACTGAATAATATTAGTAGTAGTAGTAGCAGTAAGTATTATTTTTATATGCCGCCTGACACCAACAACTCTATAAAAACTGGGCTCCCATGACCATTTGCCAGAGGTAGCATTTGATTTTGATTATTATTTTTTATTATGGCATATTTTGTCAATCAGCAATGCAGTAGATTAAATATCTCCTGATTAAACAGATGTTTCTCTCATGTCTTTGAATTGAGAGAGAGGTACAGAGATCATTTTTTTCCTTAAGCAGCAAGTAAATCTTTCTCTTGGTACTACAAAGAAAAACTTTTACTGTAATATATCCTACCGAAGCTTGTGGGAGGTACAGATGACAAGATGTATAAAAGATCTATGAAAGCACATTCTCATCTTTTCAGTAAATGAAATTCAAAATGGTTCTTTAGGTAACTTCATTACAAAAATTAGTGTTGCTACTTCCATGCATCAGTATTTCAGTGGTTAAATTCTAAAGGTAAGGACAGAAAAGGGAAATACAACAGCTCTCCTAACTCTTGCATTCTAGACTCTGTAAGCAAAGATAAAATCGTTGCAATTTAGCTAAGACAATTAAAAACTTAATGTCAGCAAAAATCTGTTCAGCTGTAACTTCCTTTTACTCACTTGACCAATCAAATGAAATGTAAGTTGGATGCTGGAAATCATGTGAGTATTTAAAGGCATCTTTATTTTGTCTCGTATTCCATCTTAATGGAGAGGACAATTTTAGAAAGACTGAAAAAAAATGTTGGGATATGTTCCGACATTAAACTGTGAGAGGATAGATACAGTTTCTTCAAATGAATGTAATAAGCCCTGCACAAACTGTGCAACGTTTTCCATTTATAATTTATTAAGGCTTGATGATTTTAATATACTTATTGTCTATAAACTGCCTTGAATCTGTATGGAGTCAACTCTTTAAAAATATGGCAAATAAATAAACAAATAACTGGTGTTATGAACCAGGAACATAAGAAATCTCTTTTCACTCAAACTCTGAAGCTGATGTCAGAAATAAAGAAAAGAATGTGTGGTATGGACCGGCCTAGGTAACAATGGGAAGAGTCACAGATTTACAGGATCCACTGTCCTTTCAGGTTTCTAGCACATTCCAAAATTGGATTCCTGGATCTAGCAACTTTTGACAACTATTGTCTACAAACTTTCCTCTTCAGGGAAGGTCAGTGAACCCGTGGAGGGGTACAGCTACAGAGTTCCCTAGAAGAAGCAGATTATATAGATCCTTGTCAGTCAGGATTCAAGCTTGGTTGTGGGGTCAAAATAGCTTTGGTTATTCTAGTGATAACCTTTCCTGGTACCTTGGATGGGGGTAAGGCACCCCTCCCAATCCTATTAAACTCTCAAAGGCTTTCAATCAGTTATGGCGTATTTTTGTACCACCAGAGAGGGTTAAGGCTGAAGGCACTGTTCTGCAGGGATCCGGCTCCTTCCTGAGAAGGCAGTTCCAATTAGTGGTTGTGGGGATGAGAGATTAGCCTGGTGGCCTCTCTCTTGTGGGTTATAACAGGGTTCAGTCCTTTGCTTTTTAACATCTATATGAGGCCATTAGGGGAGGTCAACTGGTGCTGTGGGGTAAATACCATCAGTATGTTGATGATTCTCAAATTGTACATAACCACGCTAAGACTGGCTAAAGATGCCATAGTAGCTTTGTCTTGGTGCCTGGAAGCTGCTAGGATCTGGATTAGACAAAATAGGCTACGTTGAACCTCAGAAAATGGAGTTGTTTTTGTTCATTCCAGTTTTCTATCAACTGGAGGTAGCAAGTTTGTAACTTGGGGGCCATCCTGACCTCCTAGCAGATGGAGGTTATGACTAAGAGGTCATTTGGCCAGCTCTGCTACTGTGACTCATGATCTCATCACTATCTTGGACTACTGCAATTCTACAGAGGCTATCTTTGAAGACCACTCAGAAACTACAGTTGGTCTAGAATGCAGTAGTCCACATGTTGTCAGGCACTCATCACTATGATCACGTGCCACTTGTCCTGCAGACCCTGCCTTCGTTGCCAATAGGTTTCTGGGTATACTTCAAAATGCTGGTTTAGCATAAACTCTTTAATGGCTAGGCACCTGGGTACATTTGGGACTACCTCTTCTAACCCTATTTGACCTGACCAATAAGTCCCTCTCTGGAGAAAGCTCTGATGGTGCCTCATTTCTGGGAAGTGGAGCAGTTAACACCAGGAAGCATTTCTTTGCGATGGTCCCAGTTCTCTGGAATAGCCTTCCTCTAGAGGTGAGATTAGCTCCATTTTTAATATCCTTCCAGAAGCTTATTAAAACCAAGATATTCCAGAGGGCTTTGGGGTGAATTAGGATGCTATCAGAGTCATGTGATTTGGTTTTAATTTTAATTGAATGTAGTTTTCATTGCATTTACTGTGGACATTTTATTCTTGCTCTTTGACTGCTATGAACTGCCAAGAGTCCTGAGATGTGGCAGTATACTTAAATCTAATTAATCAGTCATTCAATCAATAAAATCTTAGGTTCAATGAAAAAAATAAAAAAGGCAGTTGTGGTGGCAAAAGACCAGCTCCCTAACTTCTATTTGCTGCCATGAGACCACCAAGATGCCCAATTTACCAGAGCTATTAATGTTGGAGTGCTATTTTTGGGGAAGTAAGATGGATATTTCCAAGCTGGAGATACAAAGTAAATGAAGGAGTTATCAACCAGCAAAGACTCAATATGACACCTCTAGATCTTATTCAGATTACTGTATATCCTATTTTTGCCCAAGAGACTTTTAGGAATAAATGCTGTTTCTCTAAAGATGCTCAGAGTAGATTCATTATAGTTCCTGGGACTTCAGTTAGTAAGGATTAATTTAAATTCCACTGATTTCAATTAATCTATTTCAACAAGTTTATTTTAAGCAGATCTAGGGATACGAGATCCAATCTCTGCAACAT